CTCTCCTCCTCCTCTCCTCTGTCTCCCCTCTGTCTCCTCCTCTGTCTCCTCTCTCTCCTCCTCTGTCTCCTCCTCTGTTCCCTCTGTCTGTCCCTCCTCCTCTGTCTCCTCCTCTGTCTCCTCCTCTGTCTCCCCTCCTCTGTCTCTCCTCTGTCTCCTCCTCGTCTCCTCCTCTGTCATCCTCCTCACTCAACCAGAACCTGAACGACATCATGACCAAACTGGAGGAGCAGCGGGAGATAAAGTAAGTGACGTTTTTGTGAATGGGATGTCACAGATGTATGGAGCGTGTTTAGGATCTTGAGAGTAAAGCCCTCCTCGCCTCCTACAGAAAAGGAGGCAGTGAAGCAGCAACGACAGAAGAGAGTGCCAAGAGGTGAACCTGCTGCACTCGGGACGAGCATGCAGCGCTTTCAACACACAATAATGATCGTTTGCAGCAACACTAACCACTAAAACCCACCCTTTCCGCGGCTATGCATTTTAAATTCGATTCATTAGTATATCAGGGAATAGGTCTGGGTTAGGAAGTTGTAATTGTGTGAGAAATTACATTTAAAGGACTATAGCACACATCATATTATTAAGCCTTTTCTAAACGACCAGAATCAATCTGCAGTTATTATTAAGGGTTCTTTATAGATGGATCAATTCCAGCAGGTTATCAAGGCATCGTACAATACTCAATAAACAGTAATATGTACATTTATATCTTAAACAATAGAAAGATATATATCCATACAGAATTAAGGAAGAGTACTACATGCATAAATACGTGTGCAGTTTTCTTAAACTAAAATTGAGAATGCACGAGGCACGTGTGAGCTTTTCATCTAAAAGCCAATTGAAGATGTTCTCTGGTTTGATATCTTTGTCTAGTTTAGAGACTCTTTTAAAAACACCTACACTTTATCATGATCCACTTTTTTACAATTCAGGTCAATCTTAATGGTTCCTCCTCACCTCAATCATTAGCTTCACTGCTCTTCTTGTAGAGTTATCAAACCAGCAGGTGTCGAAGGGATGAGGGATACAATCCTTCTAGCTCCTGGGATGTAAACCTGTCTGCTTCCAGTTCGTGCACGTTTTGCAACCTCTGCATTCATTTCCTTTGACTTCTAACACAGCTGCAGTATGCATGAAATAACAGAAAGTACTTCTTCATAACAGCGGGCCTTGATCTTTGACCCTGGAAGTTGCTTTTGGTTGCAGAGGCGTGTTTTCCCTCAAAGTGTGTAGTGGTTTGGCTGAATGTGTTTGGTTTGAAGAGCATTGGTCGTCCCTCGATGTGGGAGAACACTGAGAACAGCTGCTTGAATTTAAAACTTTGTGTCTACTACTGTCTGTGGTCATCATTTCTTTCTACACAAACACACACTCTCTGCAGGACTTGCATCATGTATACCCTGCAGATAATAATACTGCTCATTTATTCCCCCCCCCCCATAAATAAGGCATGTTTTTGAGGAACAACGAGACGGATAATTAGCACATATATTATTGATGTTTTGTCCGTATTTTCATGCTCTTTCTTCTGTCTTTCAGCGAGGAAGCAACCACAGTGAAGCGGCCAGCCCACCACCCAAAGGTAGACACATCTTCTAGATGACAACATAGAGTCTTTTTATTAATATATATAAGAATAAGGAAGCACTCTAGAGCAGCGGTTCACAACCTTTTTTGTCTCGTGTACCCCTTGAACTGGTCGCCATTCTATAAGAACCCCTCACCTCATCTGTGATCATTTGCCTAATGTTTTCGTGTATAAAACCCTTTGTGATTGTGTTTAACTGCTCTCTGAATGAAAATCACTTATAACTCACATTCAATGCAAATGCATTTCAACTTGACATTTACACTTGTTGTCAGGTGACATGATGTTACACTCACTACTTATTTAGAAGCCAATGATGAGGAAGACCCCTCCCCTCTGAACAGTCACTTTTATCCGTCATATTTGAAAAGAACATTGTTATTTTTCTGTATTAATTTAAGACAAAAGTTATTTTTTACTTTGCGATGACTTTGGCTATTTTTAGATCATCTGTGTGTGTGTACTAATCTGTCACCCTCGCTGCGTTTGCATGCGTTTTGCTCGTGTGTGTGTTTGTGTGTGTGTGTGGCTTCGTTTGACCCCTGCTGGTGGTGCAGAGGCCGGGGCCCCCCCCCTCTCGGCCGCCCCCCCCCCGCATGACGCCGTCCCCCACCACAGACAGAACCGTCGAGACGACGGAGGAAGAAGCGCCGCCAGCGAACGCACACGTCAGAGCAGGTCAGACGTCTACAGCCTGCAGGAGAGAAGTCTTCATTTTACGATACGATACGATAATGCTTTAATGGTCAGATCAATCTGACATTTGACTTGCATCACAGCACTCCATGTGTAACATCACAGATACAAAAGTACACATCCTTTACTCAAGTAGAGTACAGATACTCGTGTTTAAACATACTCTGGTAAAGTAGAAGTACTGACTAAACTTCTTTACTCAAGTAAAAGTAAAGAACTTTTGAAATGTACTTCAGTAAAAGTACCCATAACTAGCAGCTGTTTTAAAGAGTACCTGACCTCCCTTTATAGAATAGAACAATATGTCATTGTAGCTAATGAATGTTTCCATGCTGAACACGGCAACATGACAACGTTTCCATTGGTCTCTTCTTTAGAGAAGACCAGGAATGATGGATCACCGGATCGTGTTCAAATCAATAGGCACGCATGACTCTAAATATAATGATCACGCCACCAAAACACATTCAAACTAAGAACCAGCCTGTTTGGGAAATGTGAGAAGTAGAAGTACAGGTATTTGGGTTCAACCTGTAAGAAGTAGAAAGTAGGTATTTGTGTTCAACATGTAAGAGTAGAAAGTACAGGTATTAGTGTTCAACATGTAAGAAGTAGAAAGTACAGGTATTTGTGTTCACATGTAAGAAGTAGAAAGTACAGGTATTTGGGTTCAACATGTAAGAAGTAAAAGTACAGGTATTTGTGTTCAACATGTAAGAAGTAGAAAGTACAGGTATTTGTGTTCAACATGTAAGAAGTAGAAAGTACAGGTATTTGTTCAACATGTAAGAAGTAAAAGTAGGTATTTGGGTTCAACATGTAAAGTAGAAAGTACAGGATTTGGTGTTCAACATGTAAGAAGTAGAAAGTACAGGTATTTGTGTTCAACATGTAAGAAGTAGAAAGTACAGGTATTTGGTTTCAACATGTAAGAAGTAAAAGTACAGGTATTTGGGTTCAACATGTAAGAAGTAGAAGTACAGGTATTTGGGTTCAAAATGTAAGAAGTAGAAAAGTACAGGTATTTGGTTCACATGTAAGAAGTCAAAGTAAAAAGCCGTCAGAAAAATAAGAAGTGGAGTAAAGTACTGATACCAGGAAATACTTAAGTGCAGGAAGGTACTCCACTACTTCCCACCTCTTACAGCAGACTGTTTACCCCGATAGTACCCCCCCCTAACCTGTGTGTGTGTGGAGCAGTGTGAGAACCTGCTGGATTGGGATGTGGAGGTGTTACAGCCCGATACATTAACAGCACCCAAGGTGGTGAAAGTCAGCCGAGCCTAACACTGAGTTTACATGCAGTGTTAGATTTAGTTTTAATTATATTAATCTAAAACCATGTTTAAATAGTAAGAATCGGACAACAGAGGACACTAACAGTCTTTTAAACCATTACCTCTCACACATGGTGCAACAGACCCAATTAAAAAAAAAAAAAACTGCATGTAAACTCTGTGTGTGGTGTGGTGTGTGTGGTGTGTGTGTGTGTGTGTGTGTGTGTGTGTTGGTGTGTGTGTGGTGTGTGTGGTGTTGGTGTGTGTGTGTGTGTGTGTGTTGTGTGTGTGTGTGTGTGTGTGGTGGTGTGTGTGTGTGTGTGGTGTGTGTGTGTGTGTGTGTGTGTGGTGTGTGTGTGTGTAGTGTGTGTGGTGTGTGTGTGTGGTGTGTGTGTGGTGTGTGTGTGTGTGTGTGTGTGTGTGTGGTGTGTGTGTGTGTGTCAGATTTAGTTTGAAACTGCATGATCACTTTGCATGCAAATGTTTGTCTTGCATGATTCTCATATCTGATCAGATTAATTGATTGCGTTACTAAATGAGGACAGTTTTGAAAATGGACTCTTTTAAAACGTTCTATTCCTGTGTTCCTACATTGATGTTTTAAAAAGCGGTAGTAGAGTAAATATGGAAGGGTCTCACACGTTTATCTCACTGGTTGTTTTTGTCTCGTACTGCCGCTCCGAAGGCGCCGTCACCGGACTTATGGGTAAGCAGAGCGGAGAAAACCTGTAGGGCAGTAGTATGAGTCACTAGAAACGCTTACGTTTTCTGCAAATCAAAACTTAATAATAACGCTTCAACCTTTCTCCTCAAAACCTCCTTCCTTTACGATACCCCTACACCACCCGGGTCTTTTCCTTTATCAAACCCTTTTAAAACCCAACGCTCCGACTCCCATCCTCTTCCTACTTTTTATAGCATGACGAGCCTGCTGTAGAGCCCCAGCCAGCTGTAGAGCCCCAGCACGATGACCACAGACACCCAGAAGAAACTCACGGAGGATGGGAAGACGTAGGAAGCACCGCCCAGAGCTTCACCCCTGCAGAACCTGTTCAGGAGAGCTGGGGAGATGCTGGAGTCCTTCAGACGCACACCGAACCCAACTGGGGAGACGCTGGAGTCCCTCAGATGCACACCGAACCCAACTGGGGAGATGCTGGAGTCCTTCAGACGCACACCGAACCCAACTGGGGAGATGCTGGAGTCCCTCAGACGCACACCGAACCCAACTGGGGAGATGCTGGAGTCCCCTCAGACGCACACCGAACCCAACTGGGGAGATGCTGGAGTCCCCGATGTGCAGGAGAGCTGGGGAGACACTGGAGTCCTTCAGACGCACACCGAACCCAACTGGGGAGATGCTGGAGTCCCCGATGTGCAGGAGAGCTGGGGAGACACTGGAGTCCCTCAGACGCACACCGAACCCAACTGGGGAGACGCTGGAGTCCCTCAGACGCACACCGAACCCAACTGGGAGACGCTGGAGTCCCTCAGAACGCACACCGAACCCAATCTGGGGAGATGCTGGGAGTCCCTCAGACGCACACCGAACCCAACTGGGGAGACGCTGGAGTCCCTCAGACGCATACCGAACCCAACTGGGGAGACGCTGGAGTCCCTCAGACGCATACCGAACCCAACTGGGGAGACGCTGGAGTCCCTCAGACGCACACCGAACCCAACTGGGGAGACGCTGGAGTCCCTCAGACGCATACCGAACCCAACTGGGGAGACGCTGGAGTCCCTCAGACGCATACCGAACCCAACTGGGGAGACGCTGGAGTCCCTCAGACGCACACCGAACCCAACTGGGGGAGACGCTGGAGTCCCTCAGACGCATACCGAACCCCAACTGGGGAGACGCTGGAGTCCCTCAGACGCACACCGAACCCAACTGGGGAGACGCTGGAGTCCCTCAGACGCATACCGAACCCAACTGGGGAGACGCTGGAGTCCCTCAGACGCACACCGAACCCAACTGGGGAGACGCTGGAGTCCCCGATGTGCAGGAGAGCTGGGGAGATGTCCAAGCCCCTCAGACGTACACCGAGCCAAACTGGGACAACGATGATGCCAAAGCGGTGCAGGGGGGCTGGGGAGAAGAAGGAAAGGTAGGGTCAGGGGTCTTTAAAACACCACAGGTTAAAGCCTGGAAATCAAGGATCCCTCAAACACTAGAAGTCACAAAAACCCTTTCTTTACGGTTCTATTTTTCCTACCTTCACCTCTTTTTTCTGATTAATGCTTCAGGGTTTTATTACACATATTGTAAATGACATTAACACGGACCTGATTTGTGTCTCTACTGCGAACTGTTTCCATGCTTTATACTCTTTAATAATGCACCGGCACCTTTCTGTTATTTTCTGCTACAGAGCGCGGTGACCAATGGCGCGGACGGGGACCTCCCCCCAGGATTCATCTACAAGGTTAGATTACTTAATGCTCCATTAACTTGGATTATAAATTAATGCTATGCACTTTTTAATGAGGTTGTGGGGTGTTTCTGCTGCAGGTGAAAGCTGTGCATGAATACGTTGCCACTGACGGCGATGAGCTGGAGCTGAAGGTGGGAGACTCTGTGCTGGTTCTGGCCTTTGAAAACCCGGACGAACAGGTCAATAACAAACACTTTCTTCACGTCCACTTTATCTATTCCTACTTTTGCAACTACCGAGCAAGATGATGACAACATTTAAACATGTATACTTATTAGTTCATCATTTATCTTTGAAAGGAAGCTACTCTTAAGGACACTGCATGTGTGTTGTCAAATATTTTGAGCTTTTCGCGTGTCATTTAATGCTTAATTATCATTCCCAACTTTGTCACATACAGAATTGTCACAGTTTTAAATGTTGTGCATGACATTATGACCTTAAACACAAGTACTTGGCCATTACATCTTGTAGTTTTGGTTCAGGAAAATAGTTTTTGGGTCAAAACATACAAAAAATCCATGTTTGGTTTTTCGGTCTTCCTGCAGGACGACGGCTGGCTCCTGGGTGTGCAGGAGACTCACTGGTTGCAGAACAAAGATATTTCAATCAAAGGTGTTTTCCCTGAGAACTTTACTCAGAAGGTTTGAGGTTCATGCACCAGAAGTACTTTGCCCCAAACTCTTCAGAATTATAGATAGAACTGAGTTGAAACGTGTATCAGTACATGATTCCAAATATGCGCTGAAATACAAGGACATCTAGACGGCTACGGTCTCTCATGAAAACATAGATAACTTATTAACCCAACTCCCTTTTGGTCAATGAAGCGCAATCCTCTAAATTAAATTAATAATATTGTTTTAATTTCCTTTCCTGAATTATTTATATGCTGAAATCAAAACTCATGTCATGAATGTATTGAATGAATGTCAAAATGTTTTATGTATCGTCATCAGGTTTTTGGAAAAAAATATGTTATGAGAACTTTTCACGGTTCCTTGCATGAAGCATTTGATTTTATTGTCATTTATTTTGTAACACTGTGACGACGGGTGGTTTTGCTGGAAGAAATGTGGCTCAGATTGAAAAAAATTCAGATGACCCAACTCAGAGCCCTGGGGAACGCCACAGGTCTAAACAACATTATCAAAATCTATTACAGTTTCTTGTAGGACTTTCAAAAGGGAACATTAGTTTTTCATTTATTTTACCGGCCATTTTGAAGACATGACTTAAAGTGTGGCTTACATTTTCTAACAACTTTTATTTAGATTTTTGAATCATCTTTACGTTGATGGATAAAACGGATAACCCCACGCAAACTGTATTTTTACATTGTGTGGGATTAACACATAAGGAATCAGTCGAAGTGGTTAATGTCGCACCATTTGTTGGATCAAGTCAGTGTCATTAAAGATGAATAAAACAACGTGTGGTGTCTCAGTGTCTTATGTGTGCCTTTTGGTAAATGGACTGTATTTAAATCTCTTTATCAGGTCTGTATGACAAAGCTCTTTACATACATATAAGTCATTCACCCATTCACACCTCATTCATGCAGAGCAGCACCACTTGCTGTAGGGAAGCTAACACACACACACACACACACACACACACACACACACACACACACACACACACACACACGCACACACACTCACACACCGTTGGCCATCGGGCTGGGATCGAACCAGCCACAGTCACCCTATAGTTGCCTTTTGCAAATTTTTACACAACCACTTCTAAGACTGAACATCTCTTCCACTTTTAAATCAGATAAAAGGTTTATATTTGTTCCAAGTTATTTGTCATATTTATGTCTAACAAAAATGACATGTAATGTAATATCTTGTTTTGCATTTATTGTAGGTGTTCTTTTTTTAAATATAGTTGCTCCTATTTCTCTATTTAATTCACACCAAAGGAAATGCTCTGTTTGTGAAGACCTACTTGGCAATAAACCAAATTCCTAGTAGATCTCCATGGAGACCCCCCTCCCCCTCCACCCAACAGAGATTTGGTGTTAATGAATATCAGCCCCCTCCACACACACACGCACACACACACACACACACGCACACACACACACACACACACACACACACACACACACACGCACACACACACACACACACACACGCACACACACACACACACGCACACACACACTCTAAAACTATTCTCTGTTTACCTTGTTGCCTGTGACCTAAATGAGGCTGAGATGTGTGCAGGTCGGGGTTATACATTATCCAGGTGCCGGACAAGGGGTTATTGATGTGTGGCGGACTGCGTTTGCATACTGATTTCCACGGCTGAATTATTGACTAAGGTTACTCCCAGTTTAAGGACAACAAAGCTGGTTACCATAGAGTTTGGAGGGAGTATAACTACCGGAGGAGTCTCAACTCCAACAAGCAGATTCCTCGAGCAGATCATCAGTCAGCAGCAGGAATTTCTAATCATGGTGAGCTTCTACAGTTTTACACATTTTAAAAGGACATGCTTTTTGCTTTCTTGCTTGAATATAAAAGTAGGAATCTGTCATTTAAAAGCTGTGTTGCAGATCATTTAATCCTAACTCGCAGTTCTAATTTCTCCACTCTTCGTTTTGCAGCGTGAATGCCTTTCAATCCATGTTGGTCAGGCCGGCGTGCAAATGGGTAATGCATGCTGGGAGCTCTACTGTCTGGAGCACGGCATCCAGCCGGACGGTCAGATGCCGAGCGACAAGACCATCGGGGGGGGGAGACGACTCCTTCAACACCTTCTTCAGCGAGACTGGAGCTGGAAAACACGTTCCCAGAGCCGTGTTTGTGGACCTGGAGCCCACAGTCATCGGTACGGTCGTTATTTTCAAATGCAAAGGTGCACTGTAGATTAAACAGAAGTTGAGGACTCCTGATTATATCCTTTCTGTTTTTTGTTTACAGATGAAGTCCGCACAGGAACCTACCGACAGCTCTTCCACCCTGAGCAGCTGATCACTGGAAAGGAAGATGCAGCCAACAACTACGCCCGCGGTCACTACACCATCGGAAAGGAGATCATCGACCTGGTTCTGGACAGGACTCGTAAACTGGTGAGTTTTTAAGCAACTACTTCATATTTGAGTTTATTCAAGTCAGTCACAGAGTCATGATGAATTGTTTTCCCGCAGGCCGACCAGTGCACAGGGCTCCAGGGTTTCCTCATCTTCCACTCCTTCGGAGGGGGAACCGGCTCTGGCTTCACCTCCCTGCTGATGGAGCGTCTCTCCGTCGACTACGGGAAGAAGTCCAAGCTGGAGTTTGCCATCTATCCGGCTCCTCAAGTGTCCACAGCTGTGGTGGAGCCCTACAACTCCATCCTGACCACCCACACCACCCTGGAGCACTCTGACTGCGCCTTCATGGTGGACAACGAGGCCATCTACGACATCTGCCGCAGGAACCTGGACATCGAGCGGCCGACCTACACCAACCTCAACAGGCTGATCGGACAGATCGTCTCCTCCATCACCGCCTCCCTGCGCTTCGACGGCGCCTTGAACGTGGATCTGACGGAGTTCCAGACCAACCTGGTGCCCTACCCTCGAATCCACTTCCCTCTGGCCACCTACGCCCCGGTTATCTCCGCAGAGAAGGCCTACCACGAGCAGCTGTCAGTCTCAGAAATCACCAACGCCTGCTTCGAGCCCCGCCAACCAGATGGTGAAATGTGACCCTCGCCACGGTAAATACATGGCCTGCTGTCTCCTGTACCGCGGAGACGTTGTTCCCAAAGAGGTGAACTCAGCCATCGCCACCATCAAAACCAAGCGCACCATCCAGTTTGTGGACTGGTGTCCCACTGGCTTCAAGGTGGGCATCAACTACCAGCCGCCCACTGTGGTTCCTGGAGGAGACCTGGCCAAGGTGCAGAGGGCGGTGTGCATGCTGAGCAACACCACCGCCATCGCAGAGGCCTGGGCGCGCCTGGACCACAAGTTCGACCTGATGTACGCCAAGAGGGCCTTCGTGCACTGGTACGTGGGAGAGGGGATGGAGGAGGGGGAGTTCTCCGAGGCCAGAGAGGACATGGCCGCCCTGGAGAAGGACTACGAGGAGGTGGGCACCGACAGCGTGGGGGACGAAGGAGAAGAAGGGGAGGAATACTAAGGTGTTAAACATCTTCAGTCAAGCCACAATTGTACTTCAAATGTCACAAAACTGTAACAGAAAATAAAATAAAGCTAATATGGTAAGCATCTGTGTGTTTCATGTGTGCTACTAGAAAAGGTAATGTCTTTAACAATGAGAAGCCTAGCAGGAATGTTGCATCCCCCCCTTCCCCTTTTATATGTGCTGACGTTTAGTTTCTCCCACCAGCTATTTGTTCTGCCGTCTCTAAGATCAGCGGCCAACGGAGAGGAAAAAAGTCGACCTGAGAAAAGAGTAACTAGGGAGACTAAATGTTCTGGCAAACATGACTTGCCAGAAGGAAGTGGTTTGTTATTGCATCTCCATGGTTACCTGCAGGTGCAGAGGTGAAACCAATAACAGCCATTTATCTGAAAACAATAGAGTGCGTTTATATGAACACAATGGGTCTGATCACTAACTGGGACTTACTCAAGTGTTTCTCTCTCAATAAGGAACATACTGTCCTGAAAAACCATCTCTGGGTGTAATGGTTGCCATTAAAACAATGCATATTAAATCATTTTAGGGTTAGCAGGTTTATAAGGCAATGTGATGAACAAATACCCATGCACCTGTTGAAGAAGTCAAACTACTAGCACATCTCTGTAAGGACAGACGTTGTTAATATCTAACTTTGGGTGTTTCATTGCATGCATCCATCTCCTTGTCTATTTCTGTGGTGTAGTAAAACCCATTGGAGCTCTCAAAAGTCAAATACTGCTCTGATGCTCTGCAGAGGAAGTCTGTTACCTTTGCTTTGCAGATGGATCTTAATCAAAGTGCGGATGCAACGGTGATCTGTAACAAAAGCCTGTTCAGGTCACTGAGGAGGTATTTGTTTTCTCAGCTCTGCCAGATAAACACTGAGGCTCCAAATGAGACATTTGAACAGAATATTAAATGTAAACACTGCTCCATTACAGAATTTCTTCATGCATGCAATATATTTTGTTTGGTGAATGCAAGGTCCTATTCAACAGCAGGCAAAATGTTTTTTAAGATGTACTTTATTTAGTTTGAACCCCCCTGCTCACTGCACAGCAGCAGCGAACAGGCCTTTCATTTAACATGTGTAATTGGAGGAGGGGGGGTGCTGTTATGGCTCATATTTCACAGCCTATCTGCCATTGTTGCTGGCTACTCGTTTGTGTAAGAACAGCTGTTGTTCCTCCGACCCGAGCACAGCAGTTGATCTTTTTCTTCGTGCTCCCCCTCCTCATCTTTCATCATGTTTGCGCTCACGCAGCGTCTCCAGTTACCACAACAGAAAGAGGCTGTTGCCGGGTGATGCTGTGCTATAAAGCCGCTTGGCTGCAGCTCTAACGTACACAAACATCCCCAGCCACTCATCTCAGGTGAACGAGGGACTGCTACAAAGACAACATGGTGAGGACTTCTTTATTTTCACGTTTAGGCAACACACCAGAAGAAACGTAACAAGAGTTATACGAAATACACCTCAGAAAGTCACTCATAGTGGTGTGTGTTCGGCCATGATATCTAAAAGAGGCAGTGTGTGCAAAGTCATTGGGTTGCACAGTAAGACTCATTAATGCCGTAGAGGTATTGGGGAATTTTGTCAATATTTCATCCACTTACAGGAAGTTAGACACACTCTTTATAGCTTTGAAAATGTTCCGTATCCGATTGGGACATACTGTTTGTTTAGTTTGGTATCTCTGGAGCGTGGCTTGGTTACTAGGTGTCAACAGCTCCTCGTTAGCACTAAGCTCTGGGATCAATTCACTTAATGACTTTGCTTGCCGAAGCTACCTTGGCTGATTTAATTTTCTTCAGTTAAATAATGCATCTCATCCTCTTGTAGTTGATTATTGGTATCTTTAACGTAAGCGTGCTATGTTAATTCTCTTGCACTATTTTATCTGTTTATTTGTCTTATTTGTTCTATGTCATATATATATATATATATATATATATATATATATATATATATATATATATATATATATATATATATATATATATATATATATATATATATATATATTCATATTGCATTGTTGGAGGAGCCTGTGACTTCAGTTTTTCATTACCATATCTACTCTGTAGCTAATGTGCACTACAATAAAGCCTTGAAACTTGGATCTTAATGAGTTGTTATGGTATGCAGGAAGTTATTGACATTTGATCCACTTTCTCTCGCAGCGTGAATGCATCTCCGTCCACATTGGCCAAGCTGGAGCTCAGATAGGCAATGCATGCTGGGAGCTCTACTGTCTGGAGCACGGCATCCAGCCGGACGGTCAGATGCCGAGCGACAAGACCATCGGGGGGGGAGACGACTCCTTCAACACCTTCTTCAGCGAGACTGGAGCTGGAAAACACGTTCCCAGAGCCGTGTTTGTGGACCTGGAGCCCACAGTCATCGGTACCATCATCAGATCCTTTTCTTGAGACTTTTCAAATACAAAAAGTATGCCACCCCATCCATTTTATTTTTTATTTCTTTCCATTTACAGATGAAGTCCGCACAGGAACCTACCGGCAGCTCTTCCACCCTGAGCAGCTGATCACTGGAAAGGAAGATGCAGCCAACAACTACGCCCGCGGTCACTACACCATCGGAAAGGAGATCATCGACCTGGTTCTGGACAGGACTCGTAAACTGGTGAGTTTTTAAGCAACTACTTCATATTTGAGTTTATTCAAGTCAGTCACAGAGTCATGATGAATTGTTTTCCCGCAGGCCGACCAGTGCACAGGGCTCCAGGGTTTCCTCATCTTCCACTCCTTCGGAGGGGGAACCGGCTCTGGCTTCACCTCCCTGCTGATGGAGCGTCTCTCCGTCGACTACGGGAAGAAGTCCAAGCTGGAGTTTGCCATCTACCCGGCTCCTCAAGTGTCCACGGCTGTGGTGGAGCCCTACAACTCCATCCTCACCACCCACACCACCCTGGAGCACTCTGACTGCGCCTTCATGGTGGACAACGAGGCCATCTACGACATCTGCCGCAGGAACCTGGACATCGAGCGGCCGACCTACACCAACCTCAACAGGCTGATCGGACAGATCGTCTCCTCCATCAACACCGCCTCCCTGCGCTTCGACGGCGCCTTGAACGTGGATCTGACGGAGTTCCAGACCAACCTGGTGCCCTACCCTCGAATCCACTTCCCTCTGGCCACCTACGCCCCGGTTATCTCCGCAGAGAAGGCCTACCACGAGCAGCTGTCTGTCGCAGAAATCACCAACGCCTGCTTCGAGCCCGCCAACCAGATGGTGAAATGTGACCCTCGCCACGGTAAATACATGGCCTGCTGTCTCCTGTACCGCGGAGATGTTGTTCCCAAAGATGTGAACTCAGCCATCGCCACCATCAAAACCAAGCGCACCATCCAGTTTGTGGACTGGTGTCCCACTGGCTTCAAGGTGGGCATCAACTACCAGCCCCCCACTGTGGTTCCTGGAGGAGACCTGGCCAAGGTGCAGAGGGCGGTGTGCATGCTGAGCAACACCACCGCCATCGCAGAGGCCTGGGCGCGCCTGGACCACAAGTTCGACCTGATGTACGCCAAGAGGGCCTTCGTGCACTGGTACGTGGGAGAGGGGATGGAGGAGGGGGAGTTCTCCGAGGCCAGAGAGGACATGGCCGCCCTGGAGAAGGACTACGAGGAGGTGGGCACCGACAGCGTGGGGGAGGAGGACGAAGGAGAGGAGTACTGAGTCACTGAAACACCTGCAGCTCGCTGAAGTAATACTGGACTCCATCATTCAGTTCATTCATTCTTTCCAGTGAGCTAACTGTGTCATGTTCGTGCAAAATAAACAAACATACTGAAGTACTTATATTTTGTTCTGTGTTTACTACAAAAAGGTGGCAGTTTTATCATTTATGAGCTCTAAATAGACAAAAAACGTCAAATCTAATTGAAGGATTACTTGTTTAATGTCTGACCATCCTTCAAAATTCAATAGATTTTCATTTAAAAACACACATACACAGTATCATGTTGAAACCAGTGACAGTTTAGTATTTTAATCCCCTAACAGCTGTAACATGTAAAGTGTTTTCCCCGCTGTCCGGCCCAGAAGAAGATTTAAGCTCCATTGTGAATTTGGGGATCATTGATTAAAATCGTATTTAATTTCTGTACTCAGGGGCTAGTGGGACAAAGTCTGGACCAGGCTAAATCCTGGAGTCCTCAGATGTGTGGGAGGGAATCCCACACGTCTGTGGAATGTGCACGGCTCGGCACGCTTAAAGCGAGCTCCGCGCTGTAGTGGAAATGCGCCATTCACTTATATTGTAACACAAAGAATAGTTTTGTTGTGTTGTTTTGTGTTTTAGGTTGCACCTCAGAGACGGTGTGATTATTGTCAGGCCTATAAAGTTTGGCAAAAAAAAAGTCAGCTGATCAAATGCACCTATTTCCACACTTACAATCGAATAGCTGATTATTCCTATTTGCCTCACTTTATGAGTTTCACAACTTGTGCCTTGAACCGCAGAGTTTGCAACGTCACAAATAAATGATGCCAATCTTCAGTCAGATGTGAATGTGTAATCTAACATTTTCAGTAAGAATAACGGACAAAAGGAGTGCAAATACAAATTCAATTTATTGAAATGTGAACTGAAAGTTATCAAGCATGAACCATCACAGTTTTTTAAAATAAAAACGAAATAATATACATAAGTTACACCTTGATGTTAATTAAGTAAACACATTTTGTCAAATAAAGTGACAGGCTAGGCCTGTGCAGGTGGTAACAGCTATGCCCAGCATGGGCTAAGTTCTGTAGGTGCAGCTGGTGCAGGTCCTCCTCCCTCAGGCCTGGTCCTCCTCGCAGGGAAAGACCCTCAGCCCTCTCTGGCCAAACCAACAGACAGAACGTTCATAAATCTGAGGTTTCCCCCAAAGTCTCTAATCATCCATCCTGTGAATATGAGAGGGGAACAAATTGTTAGTCTAAAGTCAAGTTAAGGCGCTGGTGTCGAGTTCAGGTCCGTTGCTTAGCATGTACGGGGTTCGAGACTCAATCCTCTTTATTTGCACCTGTTTTTCAGGTAAAACATCCAAATGATGTGAACAACGTGAAGAGAAGGGTTTCTCATTTACAAATGTTGGTGGCATAATTGTGTGACACTTAACTCGGTTAAGTTTTATTGGATGCACTACACTATGACTTATTTTATTTCCCTTTTTTACATTTTCTTTGTGCCATAATCTACCAAACAACCTAAGACTTTCACAAATGAAATAGCTCAGTGGGATGCAACGCTGCTCAGGTGAGCAGGAGTCTTGGGTTCGATCCCTGTGAGGTCCATGCATTTTCTAAGTCTAACCATCCAAAGTAGAGAATTAAGTTACCAAATGAGATGTAGCAGTCACTGGTCAAGTGGCTCAGAGGGATAGAACACAGACTGTGAGACTGAAGGTTGTGGGTTCAAGGCTTTTCAGGTGCAGTAATCTTTAAGGTTCAAAACCCAAATGAACCGGTCATAAGCTCTTCGAAACGTAATCATCTCAGGACAGATAGGTCAGAGGGATAAGTGTCAGGTCAGAAGACCTGAGGTTGTGTGTTCGAGTCCTCGTGAGCTATAGTGATTTTTAAAGTGCTTTACTCAAAATGAAGAAGATAAATGCGCCCGGAGCACAGGCCTTCATGTACATGTGATGGTGGCTGGATTGGGTCTGTTCTCGGCATTAAGGCGCTGGTGTCGAGTTCGGGTCTGTCGCTTAGCATGTACGGGGTTCGATACTCGGAGTAGCTGAGTTAGGCAGAGTAGCTGCAGCAGTTAGTGCACAGTAGATGAGGCAGGTAGTGCACAGTAGATGAGGCAGGTAGTGCACAGTAGTTGAGGCAGGTAGTGCACAGTAGATGAGGCAGGTAGTTCATAGCAAGTGAGGCAGGTAGTGCACAGTAGATGAGGCAGGTAGTGCACAGTAGATGAGGCAGGTAGTGCACAGTAGATGAGGCAGGTAGTTCATAGCAAGTGAGGCAGGAAGCGTAGGGTCGTCTAACGTAGGAGAGGCAGGTAGCGTAGGAGAGCAGAAGAATTGCAGAAAGTCTTTTTTTTTAATCTTTTTTCCCAAATATTTGCTTTTTTTGGTCCTGAAAAGCAGCACTGCAGCCGCAGGGGGGATACGAACCCTGGCATCTAGGATTCTTCCTGGCTCACAGGTGCACCTGCCCTACCAGGTGAGCCACTGGGTCATACAAAGAAGAAAGGTTTAAGTTATATTTATCATGACGAGTAATAATCACTTTAAAAAAAAAAAGAAAAAAAAAAAAAGAATGACATTTATTTTATACGTCATTGTTAATGACTTTTAGAAACTATTTATGATTTTCTAAAGGCATTTCACATTTTAAGGACATTATTTGCAATTTAATTTACTTTTCTATGACTTTTTGCAGTTTAATGATTTTCTGCTCTGACTTTTTAAACGACTTTTTATGAAAAATGTCATTGTTTTTTGTAACTTCTCTTTGGCAAACATTGTAATGAAATGCTTGTGACTTTTAATCATTCTTATGAATTTTTTGCTATACTATATACTATGACTTTCCTATGACTTTTTCTGACACTATTAAATGACTTGTGGCGTAGTAAACTATTATGGCATTTCTAAAGTGTTTACTTTCCTAAGACTTTCTGAAGACATTTAAAGGTTTGCGCTTACTAAGACTTTTAAATGCCATACTTTACCACGAGTGGAGGAAGAAGAGAAGAAGTGAAGAAACCCGGCCGTCCTCAGATGTGTTCCAGAAACTCTGCACTCATCTTGGGGAGAAATGAAGAGAGGGAAGACAGCGTTAGGATTATTCTGGTTTAAGACATTTTAAAAACTAGTTTTTCTCTTGACTTTTTTAAGCTTTTAAAATTAAAAACATAAAAGGTAAACATTAAACTATATCATTTATAGTAACTGTTTACGCCCCTCACAATGGCGTAGCGTAAACAGTTACGCTACGCCATTGTGAGGTTGTAAACACGGAAGTGGAACGTGACAAAAACACATTCAGACCTTTCTGATAAAGGTTAGCGTTACTGTGAGTAAACCTGACCCACGCGTAAAACAACAACACTGTCTACTAACAGTATTTACTTACCAATGTTGACGGGATAGCAGAATGCGCAGGTTGTTTGTAGAGAAGGGAAAACGTCAACAAGTTATTCCACACCGGTGCCATGCTGCTTCTCTGCACGATGAGACTTCCGGGGTGTTTCCTGCAGAGTGACTCTTTCCCTGCAGAGAGGCTCAGCTGCTGAACGCATCACATGTAAACAACGTAGTAAACTATAATCTAGTAGTTCTGCAGCAAAACTGTGCATTAAAAAGGGATAAAAGTCAATGTATGGAAGATTCATGCAACGCTGACGCATGCGTAAAGTGGATAGACAAATTACGCGCACCTCGATTAAAAAACAGATAGGCAGTGAAAAGTAAGTACATTTACACACACTCATTTACAATAAGTGTGTGTGTGTGTGTTTGTTACAATTTAGATATGTTTTCAATATTATCACAGTTTTGTATCTTTCCTCTTTTTTTCTTTTGTTTAAAGTAATATATGAATTTTTCATATATTTAAAAAAATCTTTCCAACAAAATCTGGAAAGTATTATTTGAAAACCTTTTCCACTATATTTTGACAGGATTCTTGGAATTGTTATTTTGTAATTGTTGCATTTGTTCTGAAAGTGGCAGAAGGTAGAAATGTAAGGACTGTAAATGTTTTTGCTGATCTCTCTTTGCTGTTGTTTTTCTTCTGCCGTGCTGTGAAGTACTACCCCCCATATGATTTGTCATCATCATGACATCTTCACCCGCCTTTTAGCGGCATTTATCCTTCTTAGTGTAAAATGAATAGGTTATGACCCTGCAACATGGCTTCCTCTGTGTCTCCCTCGTGTCCTTTTTATAGAACTCTGTACTTTAACCTTAATGCTTCGCTTTGACCTGTAATTACGGTATTGTGCTAACATGCATCGTCCTTATTCCATGCACAAGAATCCCTTTTAAGTAAATACTGTCCAATAAAAGATGAGATCAAATAAAAATTCATATAAACACTTGTTTTAAGTTAAGTGCCAGCATATTGATTGTACAACCTTCTTTCCAGGTGATCATCTTCTTGCACTTCCTGTGGGTGGGGCCCCTCCAGGCCGCGGTGGTGGGGGGGCTGCTGTGGGCGGAGATCGGTCCGTCATGCTTGGCAGGCATTGTGGTGCTCATGATCAAGTGAGCACCAAACGACTCTTTTCTAAGTTCAGGTAACACACACCCTCACAGAATCCAGATATTCCATACAAGCTGATAGGGTTGCAAATGTACAGATTTACCTTACACATTTTAACTGAGCAGAGGTCTCTACTCAAACAACACACAAGCAACACAAGTATCAAGCACACCTTTGAAAGTCATATGTTATAAGGCTATTGTTAAGCGTTAATACATTTGGTGCTGTGTACTGTACATGTGATGGAAACTTCTGAAGCAATGGAGACGAGACTCAGAGAGACACGAGGAGAGCAGGAACTGTGATGGTAAACACCGATGGTTTATTTGGAGCTTCGGCCGGAGAATTCATAAGACATGTGCTGTGCCACGAGTTGGCACAGCGGTTGCCAAACCAATTCTGAAGATCTCTACCCCAGACCTATTTATTTAGCTAGTTCTGAGAGAAGAATCAACATTGTGCATAACAAGATAAAACCATCACACGTCTATCAGCTGACGCCAACAGGCAGACAGGGAGACAAACCACTGAGAGCACAGCAGCCCAAGGTTACAGGACTGTGCTCCAGTGAGGGCAGTCCAAACTGATAAACTGGGTCAAAGTTATGGGCCTAGGAAAATATTATATATATATAATATAGCCTTATAACATATGACTTTCAAAGGTGTGCTTGATACTTGTGTTGCTTGTGTGTTGTTTGAGTAGAGGATGTTTGGTGCTCACTTGATCATGAGCACCACAATGCCTGCCAAGCATGACGGACCGATCTCCGCCCACAGCAGCCCCCCCACCACCGTGGCCTGGAGGGGCCCCACCCACAGGAAGTGCGGGAAGATGGTCACCTGGAAAGAGAATGTACCATGAATGAGCTGCAACACCACCAGGACAGCTTGTACAATCAATATGCTGGCACTTAACTTAAAACAAGTGTTTATATGAATTTTTATTTGATCTCATCTTTTATTGGACAGTATTTACTTAAAAGGGATTCTTGTGCATGGAATAAGGACGATGCATGTTAGCACAATACCGTAATTACAGGTCAAAGCGAAGCATTAAGGTTAAAGTACAGAGTTCTATAAAAAGGACACGAGGGAGACACAGAGGAAGCCATGTTGCAGGGTCATAACCTATTCATTTTACACTAAGAAGGATAAATGCCGCTAAAAGGCGGGTGAAGATGTCATGATGATGACAAATCATATGGGGGGTAGTACTTCACAGCACGGCAGAAGAAAAACAACAGCAAAGAGAGATCAGCAAAAACATTTACAGTCCTTACATTTCTACCTTCTGCCACTTTCAGAACAAATGCAACAATTACAAAATAACAATTCCAAGAATCCTGTCAAAATATAGTGGAAAAGGTTTTCAAATAATACTTTCCAGATTTTGTTGGAAAGATTTTTTTAAATATATGAAAAATTCATATATTACTTTAAACAAAACAAAAAAGAGGAAAGATACAAAACTGTGATAATATTGAAAACATATCTAAATTGTAACAAACACACACACACACTTATTGTAAATGAGTGTGTGCAGTGGCGGCCGGTCCATAGGGGCGCTAGGGGCGCCGCCCCACCTCTTCCCATATTGAAAAAAAAAAATAATAATAATAATTAAAATTAAAATTAAAAAAAAAAAATATGTTTAAAAAAATATATATGTTTTTATTTTTATTTTTAATGAACAAGGTAAATATTATATAATTGGTATCAGTAAAATGTATAATCTACAATAAAATCTCGTTTAAAATTGTGTTACGATGTCTAAAGTTACTGATAAGTCACATGTTTCCTGCCTGGCCTTGCCCATGCACCTTCTCTCGTCTGGGCGCTAAGAGAGGAGCCTTCAACCAGTGCAGCAGCAGCCACCAGCAGCTGACTGTTGCTATCTGTAACGTGTAAACTATGCCGCGAAAATATAATTTCAGCCAATCAGCGTCGTCAAAGATGATGGTCACCGGGCGCCAATGTCAGCGCCCAGTGCAGTCTGTGAGTAGTTTGGACAGTGACTCGTATCCGGTTGACGCAGTAGTTGATGAGGATGGCTTCGTGTGCAGGTGGAGTCTCCGGACCTCGGTCCCCGGCTAATTCTGTTCAAGAGCTAATCTCCAATCCTTTCGAAAGGAGAAGTTTGGCAGATAAATTGTTGCTTAAAGACCTTGCACCGGACCAACCCGATTTGAATATATCGCAGCAATCTCGTGAAAAAGACAACATTTATACACGAGGCTTCACAAGTAGCTGGTACACAAGAAAGGCTTGGCTAGCTGGATGCAAACAGGTAAATGCTGTCTTTTGTTTCCCATGCTTGGATATCACTTTATATGTAGAGAGGAGGTTTCCCATGGTTGTTAGAAGTTTATTAATAAGTGGGCATTTATCACAGAAGTGATTGTTCTGTCTCCACGTTTGTTGCATTGTCTGTGATGTATTTTCCAACGGTTTATAGCTCCTGTTCTGTCCCAGCAACACTACACGGTTTGCAGCTCCACCACATTTTTGGTTTATCTTCGGTGTCGCTTAAAATCTGCTTCCCATCGGACTAAAACCTCCACGTAATCTGAAGACAGATACTTGAAGTTATTTAAACCTTTTGCAAACTTTATGTTCTTTCTTGCTCTAGCCTTGCCAGTTACATTGTACATAACACATATATTATCATTATGCTAAGTGGTTGTTCGTGTTAGACGATGTAGCTTTTTCATTTCTGAGTTATTGCTATATGTAAATAAGCCTGTTTGTAAATAATCCTCAGAGAAACAAAGAAAAAACACAATTTATGACATTTTGTGCTGTGGTTATTTTTTTTTAAATTGCATTTATTCACAGTTCAGTTTGAAATGCTGTAGTGACTTGTATTGAACCACTTAAATATTTATAATTAATGCTACTGAAAAGATGCTATTAATTTTATATCTCACATGCAGTTCACTGTAAAGCTACTTGGTGAAGGTGTTGGTTCATAAAACATGAACAGTTTTAAGAAAGAAAAAAACAGACCAGTTCTGAGAACACAAATTCCTGGTAAAGTAGTAGATGTTCAGGTTGATAAATAATATTTTCCACACTGAAGATTATGGAGGTATTGATCAGTCTTCTCATATTTTTAAGCCTCGATTTCTCCTTTCCCCCCCCCCTCTAACATCACCAGAAGTCATCATTTAAGGGGTCATTTCTCGAAAAAAGTTTCCGGGGGAAAACCCCCCGGACCCCCCGGGTAGGTCACTTACGGTACGTCAAGAGCCCCACCAAAAAAAAAGACCACCGGCCGCCACTGAGTGTGTGTAAATGTACTTACCTTTCACTGCCTATCTGTTTTTTAATCGAGGTGCGCGTAATTTGTCTATCCACTTTACGCATGCGTCAGCGTTGCATGAATCTTCCATACATTGACTTTTATCCCTTTTTAATGCACAGTTTTGCTGCAGAACTACTAGATGATAGTTTACTACGTTGTTTACATGTGATGCGTTCAGCAGCTGAGCCTCTCTGCAAGGAAAGAGTCACTCTGCAGGAAACACCCCGGAAGTCTCATCGTGCAGAGAAGCAGCATGGCACCGGTGTGGAATAACTTGTTGACGTTTTCCCTTCTCTACAAACAACCTGCGCATTCTGCTATCCCGTCAACATTGGTAAGTAAATACTGTTAGTAGACAGTGTTGTTGTTTTACGCGTGGGTCAGGTTTACTCACAGTAACGCTAACATTTATCAGAAAGGTCTGAATGTGTTTTTGTCACGTTCCACTTCCGTGTTTACAACCTCACAATGGCGTAGCGTAACTGTTTACGCTACGCCATTGTGAGGGGCGTAAACAGTTACTATAAATGATATAGTTTAATGTTTACCTTTTATGTTTTTAATTTTAAAAGCTTAAAAAAGTCAAGAAAAAAACTAGTTTTTAAAATGTCTTAAACCAGAATAATCCTAACGCTGTCTTCCCTCTCTTCATTTCTCCCCAAGATGAGTGCAGAGTTTCTGGAACACATCTGAGGACGGCCGGGTTTCTTCACTTCTTCTCTTCTTCCTCCACTCGTGGTAAAGTATGGCATTTAAAAGTCTTAGTAAGCGCAAACCTTTAAATGTCTTCAGAAAGTCTTAGGAAAATAAAAACTTTAGAAATGCCATAATAGTTTACTACGCCACAAGTCATTTAATAGTGTCATAATAAAAGTCATAGCATATTGCAAAACATTATAAAAATTAATTAAAAGTCACAAGCATTTCATTACAATGTTTGCCAAAGGGAAGTTACAAAAAACAATGACATTTTTCATAAAAAGTCGTTTAAAAAGTCAGAGCAGAAAATCATTAAACTGCAAAAAGTCATAGAAAAGTTCATTAAATTGACAATAATTAGCATATAATGTCCTTAAAATGTGAAATGCCTTTAGAAAATCATAAATAGTTTCTAAAAGTCATTAATAATGACGTATAAAATACATTTCATTCTTTATTTTTTTTAAAGTGATTATTACTCGTCATGATAAATATAACTTAAACCTTTCTTCTTTGTATGACCCAGTGGCTCACCTGGTAGGGCAGGTGCACCTGTGAGCCAGGAAGAATCCTAGATGCCAGGGTTCGTATCCCCCCTGCGGCTGCAGTGCTGCTTTTCAGGACCAAAAAAAGCTAAAATTTGGGAAAAAAGCTAAAAAAAAAAAGACTTTCTGCAATTTTTCTACTCTCCTACACTACCTGCCTCTCCTATTCTACTCTTATCCTACACTTATCCTACACTACCTGCCCCTCCTACACTACGCTACGCTACCTGCCTCTCCTACGCGACGCGACACTCCTACGTTACGCGACCCTACGCTTCCTGCCTCACTTGCTATGAACTACCTGAACTACCTGCCTCATCTACTGTGCACTACCTGCTGCAGCTACTCTGCCTAACTCAGCTACTCCGAGTATCGAACCCCGTACATGCTAAGCGACAGACCCGAACTCGACACCAGCGCCTTAATGCCGAGAACAGACCCAATCCAGCCACCATCACATGTACATGAAGACCTGTGCTCCGGGCGCATTTATCTTCTTCATTTTGAGTAAAGCACTTTAAAAATCACTATAGCTCACGAGGACTCGAACACGCAACCTCAGGTCTTCTGACCTGACACTTATCCCTCTGAGCTATCTGTCCTGAGATGATTACGTTTCGAAGAGCTTATGACCAGTTCATTTGGGATTTTGAACCTTAAAGATTACTGCACCTGAAAAGCCTTGAACCCACAACCTTCAGTCTCACAGTCTGTGTTCTATCCCTCTGAGCCACTTGACCAGTGACTGCTACATTTAATTTGGTAACTTAATTCTCTACTTTGGATGGTTAGACTTGGAAAATGCATGGACCTCACAGGGATCGAACCCAAGACTCCTGCTCACCTGAGCAGCGTTGCATCCCACTGAGCTATTTCATTTGGGACAGTCTTAAGTTGTTTGGTAGATTATGGCACAAAGAAAATGTAAAAAAGGGAAATAAAATAAGTCATAGTGTAGTGCATCCAATAAAACTTAACTGAGTTAAGTGTCACACAATTATGCCACCAACATTTGTAAATGAGAAACCCTTCTCTCCACTTTGTTCACATCATTTGGATGTTTTACCTGAAAAACAGGTGCAAATAAAGAGGGTTGAACCAAGAACCTCCAGACATCAAGGTAGTGTCTTATCCCTTTGAGCCATTTGACCTGGGAACATTATTTTCGTTTGGAAATCTAATTCTACACTTTGGGTGCTGGCCTTCAGAACATCTCTGCACCTCATGGGGATCGAACCCAAAACTTCAGCTCACCTGAGCAGCGTCGTAACCCACGGAGCTATTTCATTTTAAATAATGGTAGACTTTGTCACAAAGAATAATATAAAAAAGGAAATAAAATAACTCATAGTGCATCTGAAAGAAATATCAGAGAATCACACAATTGTGTCACAAACATTTGTAAACGAAAAACTACTCTGTACGCTTTGTTCACATCATTTGGATGTTTTACCTGAAAAGCAGGTGCAAATAAAGAGGGTTGAACCAAGACCCTCCAGACATCAAGGCATGGTTTCATCCCAGTCAGCCATCTGACCTGGTCCAATTATGTTTTGTTTGGTAATCTAATTCTACACTTGAAGAGTGGGTGTTGAAGATCAGAAGCATCTCTGCACCTCATGGGGATCGAACCTTAAACCTCAGTTCACCTGAGCAGCGTAGTATCACTCTGAGCTATCAGATCTGAGACAGTCAATGGTCATTGTCCAACTGTCCAAGACTTTGTTTCAAAAAGGAAATGTAAAAAAAGCAATTGCATAGTTTGTCATAAAGCTGTGCCTAGAACAGTTACCATGGACACAAGTAAATGTAAAACTCTGCTCTTCTTTCATCTGGATGTTTAATATCACTGCTCCCTCTAAGAATCAAACTCACAACCTCTGGTCTCCTGATCCTTCTCATATCACTCTGAGCTAAACAACCTGAGCACTCTGTCAGTTGTCTGGTAGAGTTTCTCTTGGTAGGAGTTGTGAAACAAAGTCAATGTGAAGAAAGTCATAGTATAGTATGTAACAGAATTGCACCACCACCAGATGTTAATGTAAAACTGTTCTCTTTGCTTATATGAATTCATTATCTTGGGTGCTTGACCTTAAAAGTCCCTGCAAATGATAAGCATTGAACCCTCAACCTCCTGTCTTCAAGGCAATGTATTATCCCTGTGAGCCATCTGACCTGGGTTGCCTCTGTGTCGCTTGCTAATCTAATTCTACACTTTGGGTCTTGGACTTCAAAAAACATTTGTACTGGGTGGGTGTTGTATTTGTAAAAATCACTGCACTTCATGAGGATCGAACCGAAGACCACAGTTCTTCAGAACAGTCTAGTTCTCTATGAGATCTGAGATAGCTCTCTGGTAGAGTTTGTGTCACAACCTCTGCATGTTTGACTCATTTATTATGGGTGTTGGACTTTCAAAACCTAAGTATCGAACACACAACATCAGCTCTACTGAGCTTCCTCATAAGTCCATGAGCTATGAAATCTAATAGAAACAATATAATAGCCTAAGTAATTTTCTTTGTGGTCGACCCAAGTAGGAACCAAACACACAACCTCAGCTCTACAGACCACACATCTTCCACTCTGAGCTATCTGACTGAACACACTTCACAGTTGTTAGGGACACATTTGTACTTCTTCTGTGGGAAATTGGACTTATAAAGTTACTGCACCTAATAAGAATCAAACACACAACCTCAGATCTTCTAACCTAACACTGAGCTGCGCCATCTGGCCTGAGGCATTAATGTTTCGTAGAGCTTATGGCCTGTTCATTTGGGATTTTGGATGTGAAATACTTAAAGGTGGGGTAGGTACGTTTGAGAAACCGGCTCGAGATACACTTTCTGTTATATTCCATGGAATGCTCTTAACATCCCGATAGCAATGAATATCTTAAGTGCTTTGACAAAAAATCCATACAAAAATGTCATCTGTGGAAGCCGTAGTACTGTAAAGACGGAAAACAAATATGTGAGGATCAAAACTACATATGTAAAACTTTTTTCTGTATTTGGATTGTATTTACATGAATATGAAACGGAACACATTTGTGTGAGCATTGAAAAACACAAGTGTGGATCCTTTTGCGGATCATGAATTACAAGTTTGAATCCTTCTGTGTGCATGTGTGTATTATGAGACTGTTCTGAGCCCATACCAACCTCACAGTCAGTCTTCTATCCCTCTGAGCCATCTGACCTGAGAGATAAATCTTTCATTTGGTCAATTCATTTTCAACTTTGGGTTGGAGATTTTGAAAACTCCTGCACCTCAGGAGGATCGAACCCAAGACTTCAGCTTACCTGAGCGGTGTTGTATCACTCTGTTTGACAAAATCTAGCAAACACCAACAATAGCTCAGAGTATGTCCTACAATTGCGCCACAAACACCTTGATGTAAAAACTGTTCTTTCTAAAAAAAACTCATTTTTATATGAGGGGGAGGATCCTTATCCAAAAAGATATGTTTAAAGGGGACCTATCATGCAAAATGCACTTTTGTACGTCTTGTATACATGAATATGTGTCCCCGGTGTTCCAGGGAACTCACCAAGTGTCAGAAAACACAACCCTCTCTATTTTCCTCCATACCCAAATCTCTAAAAAGGGGCTGCAACGGATCTGATAAAAACTGATCCAGATTTGAACACTGTCCTGACGTCAGGACGGTGGCGCTACGGCTATTGGGCCAACTCCACCAATCAGGAGGAGACAGCCACGGCCATTGCCGTTAGAAAGCGCTGGAGACGCTGTAGTACATATGCCAGGCCTGTAGATGGTGCTGTTCTCACTGAATCTGCCCTTGCTAAAACAGAGTTAGAAATTGTCAAATTGAGCGAAATGAGGCATGGCTAAAATGCATGATCTGTTTGGTATTTTGAAAAACAAAAAGTATAAATATGCCTTATATAGGTATGGTCCTACACTATATTATTAAAATATAGCATGATAGGTCCACTTTAAACTATCCTCCCCTGGCTATAACTAAGCTTACTGTTCCAGTTTTTGACAAATTAATTTCCTGGAGCTTTATTGTTATTGTTGATTATTGTTATAAAGTGAAATAAATAACTCTGTGTGTGTGTATTTGAAGTAAAACAGCTATTGTTCAGTCAGGGTTTTAAAGAGCAGAAAGACACAGAAGGCAGGCGAGCGATTGCAGCACTTCAACACTAACATATTTATTCAAGGTCTCACAGATACAAAATAAGCTTTTCTGTTTTTTCAGAGAATAGCATTTCTTTTTAATTTTTTTTATTTCTTTTTTGACTTGCATGAGGTAAACAACAATATATCCAGTGACGCAGAACGATCCGCACACACACACACACACACATGGGGACGCAGTGTGTTGGTGTTTTCTGCAGGTGTGTGAGGAAGGGAGGGGAGCTACAGAGAGAGCAGGTAAACAATCACACATCCTCCTTTTACACACCTTTCCATCCCTTTCACCTGCTTTGAAACCATCTCTACTTCCTCTCTGAGACACGACGACCCGACAGGAAACACTTCATCTGGTGCTTTGAAACCATCTCTACTTCCTCTCTGAGACACGACGACCCGGCAGGAAACACTTCATCTTAAAGCCATCTCTACTTCCTCTCTGAGACACGACGACCCGACAGGAAACACTTCATCTTAAAGCCATCTCTACTTCCTCTCTGAGACACGACGACCCGACAGGAAACACTTCATCTGGATTCCTGATGTTTAAATATCGCATTCACCCGGTTCAGAGGTTGCATTCAGGGTGGCTGCTTACATGTAGTACTTTTATGTATGTATCCTGCAAAGACAAAGCTGGGAAAGACATATCTTTGCATGTATCTTGGTTTCCTTTCTTTCAGTTTCTGGCAGCTTTATCCTTTGTTAATTTAACACGGTCCTCTCTTGCTGAAAGAATAAGACACCATGCATGTGGGTTTTTTAACCTCTTTTTTAAATATCTCAATTATTTTGCTTTCATATTAGCATTAAACGCAACACTCCTGTCCCTGAACGCATCACCTCTGTGCCACAAACACATAGAAATCAGACACAGCCTTTCTGACTTTAAAGACGTCCCAAAGTAAGATGTTTTGTTTTAGTTTTTTTGACACCAGACGGACAGACGGACAAGCACAGCGTCGTTCTTCATCGTGAGAATCATCATGGTGGAGAGGAGCAGGAAGAGGAGGGTGTCACTGAGGCAGAGCTTTGAGGATGGCGTTGACCTCCTCAGCGACCGCCGTCAGCGCAAACTCAAACTGATCCTGCACACAGAAAAAGGAGAAATAATTCATCCTTAAAACGACCCTTTGTTTTGTATATTTCCTGTTTCCTTGGTTACGTGACAAACTCTGACCTTGGTGCGGACCATCCCCGGCCTCTGGTCCCGGACGTGCTCCAGAGTCGCAGCGATGTCGATCTCTTTCACACCTGCAGTAACACACACACACACACACACACACACACACACACACACACACACACACACACACACACACGTTGGTAATGAAAGTGTTTTTGATCTAAATCAGTAGAAGTGCATGATATCAATAAAGCTCACCTTTAGCCATGCGATTGAGAACCATGTCGATCAGGATGTACGTCCCAGTCCGGCCTATCCCGTCACTTTTCAAACAATATATAATAAAAACAATTAATAATCTGATTGCAAAAAGTCGACCTCGTTAACGATGTTATTGCTGCTACCCAGTGGACTCGTGTGGTACTACGATGCCATATCAACGCAGTCCATTTATCTCCATCATTTGATGTTTAGTCTAAATTAAACGTCTTACTTAGTTTCTATGAATCCATGTTGTTGATGGATAATTCAGGATTTACCTGCAGTGCACGATGATGGGGCAGGACCGTCCTCTGTAGCACTTATTCACCTTCCTGAAGAGAGGAAAGCACAGCAATTTAAACAAATAAAACATATTTATTTACCTATTTATGCTGGTGCATTAACTATTCCATATATAAACATGGATGCTAGGTACATTATGCAATCTTAAAATATATCTGAGATCATTGCAGTATCCAAAAAATGCACAGAACCACTTTACTTGACTTCTATGGCAGTTTAATAATGTACCTAGCATCTATGTATATATATCAAACTGTTAATTATGTATATTTAAATTAAAACCCTAATAAAGCCACAGATACACAAGGACGGACAACCTCTATATTGTAGGTTTAGGAGAAAATACATAAATATGAGGACTTTTTGCAGCCTCAGTGTTTGACTACAAAAGTCTCTTCTGTCTTCAAATAAAAGTACTAGTACACACAGATGATTTGTCCACATGTCCACGCCCCCATACACGCACACATTTCTGACAACTGACTTGCTTAGCTTCGTTAAGTCCTCAGGTTTTGATAAATGGTAAATAAAAAGTGTTTTTCGGCGATGGACCTCCTGCTGCAGCCACATCAGTCCATGATCATTTTTGTGACTATGCAACTGGAGACACAAACTAGCTGCAAACCACAAGAATGACACAGACAGATATGTTCAAGTTTAACCCGCCGCTGACCTCCATCGCACAGGGAGGGGGAGAGGGGGGAGGGGGAGGGGGAGAGGGTTTGGAGTAAGGGAGGATGGGAGGAAACACTTTGGTTTCTGCGTCGTGTTTTTAACCCTCTTGTTGTCACCTTTCTTTAATAAATACTCAAACCTTCTGGACGCTTTTGGACACACTTCCATTGTAATTCTGTACAACGTTACTCCTGATTTAGGTCGGTTTCCTAACGTAGAAATAAAGTGGAACAGTATTTATTTTCATGGTAAATTCCTCATGTTTTAAGATGATTTCTCCCAGTTTTGAATCCTTTTCCACACATTAAAACCAGTTTAGAATCTCACTTTGAGCCACAATAGACTCCTATCATGTGTGCAATATGAGTCCTTTACGTTTTATTTCATTACAGTCATTTAAGTAAAAGTATTTCAATATTAGTTTTGCTGCAAAATAATGTACTTTTTGTCGTAGTAATGTTTCTGTATCTAACATGTAAAACCCTCCGGTAGCTTTACAGGTTATTTTATTTGCAGTCACTGGTTAAGGGTCTTCATTTATTGATATTAAAACCGCAATATTCCGTATTTAATTGCGTCTTAATGTACATTATTAGTTTCATATTCTGTTCTTGTACATTTCATATTCTATTTACATGTATATAGACTTTTTGCACTATTTTTTATTTTGTATTTTATTATATATGTTGCTCTGTTGGAGGAGCTCAGGTCAGAAGAATTGCCATTTCTACACTGAATCTTTGAGTAATGCAGCTGCTTCTTCAGTCAGTCTGCATGCTTTTGAACCAGATTATGGGATGTCTCAGGTTAGTTTGTGGAGGCGGTACCTGCGGAAGTCGAGCAGCGGGCGGGTGGCGGGGGGGATGCCCTGCGCCGGCCAGCTGAGGAAGTGGAACTGAGTGAGGGTCCGGGTCTCCTGCGTCTGGACGTTCTTCAGGTAGAAGCTCCGCACCAGGAAGTCGTTACACCAGATGTGCTCCGACACCAAGTTCACCTGGAGAAACACAGTCAGACAAGTAGTGGAGGACAAATACTTTGTTACTGTACTTAAGGTATCTGGTATCAGTACTTTACTCCACTACTTTCTACTTCTTACATGTTGAACACAAATACCTGTACTTTCTACTTCTTACATGTTGAACACAAATACCTGTACTTTCTACTTCTTACATTTTGAACCCAAATACCTGTACTTTCTACTTCTTACATTTTGAACCCAAATACCTGTACTTTCTACTTCTTACATTTTGAACACAAATACTTGTACTTTCTACTTCTCACATGTTGAACCCAAATACCTGTACTTTCTACTTCTTACATGTTGAACTCAAATACCTGTACTTTCTACTTCTTACATGTTGAACACAAATACCTGTACTTTCTACTTCTTATATGTTGAACACAAATACCTGTACTTTCTACTTCTTACATGTTGAACACAAATACCTGTACTTTCTACTTCTTACATGTTGAACACAAATACCTGTACTTTCTACTTCTTACATGTTGAACACAAATACCTGTACTTTCTACTTCTTACATGTTGAACTCAAATACCTGTACTTTCTACTTCTTACATGTTGAACACAAATACCTGTACTTTCTACTTCTTACATGTTGAACACAAATACCTGTACTTTCTACTTCTTATATGTTGAACACAAATACCTGTACTTTCTACTTCTTACATGTTGAACACAAATACCTGTACTTTCTACTTCTTACATGTTGAACACAAATACCTGTACTTTCTACTTCTTACATGTTGAACACAAAGTACATTTCAAAGCCCATACTTCTTTACTTTCACTTGAGTAAAGAAGTTTAGTCAGTACTTCTACTTTTACCAGAGTATCTTTAAACACGAGTATCTGTACTTCTACCTGAGTAAAGGATGTGTTTACTTTTGCCATCTCTGCCTCACACACACTCACCTCGTAGATGTGGTAGAGGGACGAGCCCTCATCAGGCCAGTAGCGGTCACACTGTTTCTCCCCGTCTTCAACCAGAGCGCTCATCATCACGATCACAGTGCAGCCGTTCTCCCACACCATCTAAACACACACACACACACACACACACACACACACACACACACACACACACACACACACACACACACACACACACACACACACACACACACACACACACACACACACACACACACACACACACACACACACACACACACACACACACACACACGTTTAAAACATAAGTAAGGGGATGTTTCAGTGTATGACTGATGAAGTTTAGGGATAAATTATATATATCTTAAAGGAACTGTGGCTCCATGCATGACAGTTAAGCAAAGATAAGACACCCCTCAGTTTTGGGCTGACACTGCAGTGATATGAGGAAAACATAATAAGTCTAATAATATAAATGATACATGAGTGATGGCCTCTTACCTGCCAGAAGTCAGAGATGGTGTGTGACAGCGGGCCCTGGGTGGCGATGTAAGCAGGCATCCGGGGGTCGTGCTCAATCTGAAGTGGAGCGGTTACAAAGGTCCCATAAAATACCATTTTCTTGAAGTTTTTTAAGACATACGATGACTTTTGAAAACATTTTTGAAATACGATAAGTTGAGAAGATGAGAAGTACTTTATTAATCCCAATTTGAGAAATGTTTGCGTTGCAGCAGCATAAAAAGACAAGGCATTGTACAATAGAGAAATTAAAAGACTTGAAATAAACAATACAAAATTAAAATACAAAGTAAAATACAAATACTACTACGACATTTAGTATTCATACGTACGATGGTGCTGGCGTTGATGTAGTCAGATCGTGAAGGGTTGACCTCCGCCTTCAGCTTCACCCTGGAGTGATCATCTGCAGGAACACAGACACATTTAACCCTTCAACACCCCCCATTTATCCCTGAAAGGTCCCCTATTATACTGTTTCTCATCCACATATCACAGGTCTCAGATATATCCAGAGCCTGTCTCTGATTGGCTGAAACACCAAACAGATCATTGCAGCATTACCCATAATCCCCTCTGTTTCAGCCCTGTTTCCAAAGTGCTGATTCTCTGTCTGTTACTTTAGATGAAAATAAGGAGCCCCTCCCCACGCCCCTCTGAGAGAGATTTGGTTACAAAGAACTCAATGGTGCTCTAGGAGGAGATTCAGGTGATATGGTTGTGGGGGCGTTACCTTGGTTGCTGATTGGCTAATGGTTACACAAGACAAAACATCGTTATGACATCATAGAGTGGCCACAATCTGATCAGCTCATTTTCAGACAGGTTTTTATAGAAATGGATCAGGACAAAAAGAGAGAGAATCTTTTTTGAAGACATAGGAGACCTTTAACCTCTGTTCACTCACAGGGGGCAGACTGGGCGCAGCGGTTCTTCTTGGCGTTGGCGTCGCTCTGGGCGATGGAGACGGCGCTGGGCTCGGCGGTGTAGCTGCACAGAGCCTCCCACTCCTTCATCAGACGGTCCTTGTTCCTCAGGTGGTCTTCCATGTAGGCCTGGGGGGCGACACGCACACGCACACACACACACACTGTTCACATCCCATAATACTCACCCTGAATAGACCTGTGCATGCCTCAAGCGCTGACCAGTACCATGAGTACTACAGTATAATGTGTACTGACCAGTATCATGTGTATATTGTGTATTAACCAGTATCATGTGTACTGACCAGTATCGTGAGCACTAACCAGTATAATGTGTATAATGGTCACTAACCAGTATAATGGTTACTAACCAGTATAAAGTGTACCAACCAGTATCATGTGTCCGGTGGAGATGTCCATGTTAGCCTGTGCCGGCTCTTCACACCATGACGCGCTGCTGATGGAGCTCGGACTGGGCTGAGCTCCATCGCTGAACTGGGAGGAGACGCTGCTCACTCTGGAGTCTCCACCTCCTGCTGATGCTCCTCCACCTGCAGCTCCAACACCAACACCTCCTCCTCCTCCACTGGTTCCTCCTCCACTGGTTCCTCCCACTGCTCCCAGTGCGGCGGCCTCCAGGCGTCCGAAGGCTCCTTTGGAGGACATGTGCTGGCGACACAGGTCCTGGTGAGTCAGGTATAGATGCTTCATCATTCTATATATCTTTAAGGACTTTTTAAGGACCCGTGTAAACCTTGAGAACACTAAATCTCAATGTGTCTCAAAAGGAGCTCTGTTTCTGAGTGTTTCCTGGCGGACATGTTTGTAGTTCTTCCCTCCTTTCTAAAAAGAGCTCTGTTTCTGGCCGTTTCTCAATGTCGAGTAAAGCTGCTCCAAAGCCACTATTTCAAGCATACTACGTCATCGAGTGGCGCCCAATCACTGTTTAAATGCTCAGCATATATGTGCTACCAAGCAAGCCTCCTCGACATTGAGAAACGGCCTCTGAGTGTTGCAGGCGGACATGTTTGTAGTTCTCCTCACCTGGTACTCCTGGTGGGTGAAGCTGCCCCCCTCCAGGCCCAGCTTCCTGGCTGCCAGGCGGTGGGCGTGATTCCTCAGGCAGGCGATCGTCATGGCCGCCACCAGGATGCTGCCGATGATCGCCATGGCAACCAGCGTGGAGAACACCCAGCCGGAGGAGGAGCGGGGCTTAACCCGGGTCGCCAGGGGCAACGCCATCCCATCATCGCTCTGGAAGTACATTAAATGGAGGATCTTTTAAAACAGGTGGACTAATGTGTATAGACAGTACGAGGAATTATGATGTCAAATAAGATCAAATATATATATATATATATCTCCCCCCTTTCTCCTGGTGACCCCAAACTATCCTCCCTCCTCGAAGAATTGTCTCTCTTGACCTTTCGGACCTCCTCCTTCCTCTCTGTGGGTCTCAGGAATGTGAGGCGCTGTGTGTGTGTGTGTGTGTGTGTGTGTGTGTGTGTGTGTGTGTGTGTGTGTGTGTGTGTGTGTGTGTGTGTGTGTGTGTGTGTGTGTGTGTGTGTGTGTGTGTGTGTGTGTGTGTGTGTGTGTGTGTGTGTGTGTTATAAAGGGGCCCCGATGGGGATCAGTGTGTGTGTAACAGAGGAAAATGGATGACCGCGCTGCATGTGGTTCATCGCTTCAACTTTTTAAAATAACCTTATATTTGCATTCACACAAGTAGAGTTATATCTCAATATATGTCACAAAAAAATGATTATTAAGTAGTTTCTTTTAGGATATCAGACTTTTAGAACTGCAAAAATAATAAACTGTGCTTCTATAATAATAAGACTTATATAAATACGTCTTTTTCTAATGTTTTCACTCACCCACACGTCTCCTCCTGACTCCCAGCTGCACTCACATGGACTCAGATATCAGACAGTGAAGTCAGACCGAATGGAAACACACTAAACTTCCGGGATGAATTTTCGAAATAAAAGTCTATAAAACGTATTTTTCAGTTTAAAAGACAAATATCATGATTTTGTTTAAGTTAAAGGTCACCTATCATGCTATTTGTAGGCAATAGCATAGGTCTCACACACAAATATATTAAAAACATGTCTATGAAGTGTTTTGCTCAAAACACCAAACAGATCATTCTAGCCATGCCTCATATCCCTCTATTTCACTTCCTGTTTCTAAAGTGCTGATTTGGGGTATAAAGCTTTAAAAAGGGAGGGGTCTGAGCTCATGGGGACCCGGCAGCTACCGTCTAAACTAAATACTGCCGTGATGAAACACCATATCATGGATTATCAAGGATTCTCTCTGAAACAGTATGGAGCTCAAAGGCTTTCTCTCTTGCCGGTTATACCACAAGGTGAGTTCCTTTTTATTTCCTGCTTCTTCACACACATGCTCTCCAGTACAGGTTAGCTCTGAGTGTTAGCGATGCTAATGTAAACACAGACCATATTACGTCCAAAACAGTCGGGCATTGTTTCTGATAGCAACTTTCTGATAGGGCCGTATAATAATGAATGATATGTTTTTTAATTGTCATTGGTGGTTAATGACTCAAGTATTGATACTAATATTATAACATTTAGACATCAGATTCACTTGGATCATATCATATTATTATTTATATTATATACTCTCATTTCCTCCGTGTATCCCCAAGGTAACCTGATTTAATTTAGTCTTCATCCCTCTCTAATCCCTCTTTCTCTTTTCCAATATCCTCCCACAGGTACCCACCTCTCCCGCTCCGCTCTGCAGAAGGTGCTTCTCTGCCACTGCAGGAATCAAATACAAAAAACAGTGACTATAAAGTTATGTTTTACGTCAATATTTGTATGAAAACCACATTAGAGGACTCACCTGATTTCTCCGCCCCGTCTGCAGCCGTCAGGTTTTTTGGTCGGATCCTGAAGGAGAGCGCGGGTACCACCGCACTGAGGAGGAAGAACACAACGATAAACAGAGTTATTAATCAATATTTAAAGTAACAGTTTTCTGATGTTTAGTCTGTTTGTAACTTCTGCTATTGTGAAATAAATTGCACTTATTTTGTGTTATTATTCTGTGTTGACGAGCATAAGCTGAATTACAGACACAAATAAGCAGATTTCTTAAGCTTTGTTTTCACTTTGAGGGTCAAGGTGAGGGATCGTTTTCAGGTGAAGAGATTAGAGGAAGCAGGGAAACGTTAAAGCAGGATGAACGTAGAGAATCCGGGGACTACGTCCAAAAACATGAACAGGCTTTCCTCAGATCTGTTCCTCTCTTTCCCTCGTCTCTCTGCCCTCCTTCCTTCCACATCTATTCTCTGTTTTCCCAGTTTTACTAGTGCTTTTTGAGGACACCTCCCACCTCCATACCCACACCCACACCCACCCACCCACCCACCCACCCACCCACCCACCCACACACACACACACACACACACACACACACACACACACACACACCACACACACACACACACACACACACACACACACACACACACACACACACACACACACACACACACACACACACACACACACACACACCACACACACACACACACACACACACACACACACACACACACACACACACACACGTACCCCTCCTTCTCCACGTGTCCGGCCTCCGGGGGGGAGCGAGACCTTCTGCTCTGCTTCAGGTTTTGGGGTTTGTTGGAGGAAGGTGGAGCAGACTTGTACGCCATAGCACCCTCTTTGACCTGATGAAGACATTCAATGCAACAGCAGGTTTGTAATAAAGCTATTCCATACTTTGATATTGTTCTTTTTATAGATGTATTGCTTCCTTTCATGCTCACCTTCTTTCCTGCAGCAGCATCGTTCCCGTATGTATCTGAAAAGGAAAGAAAAACACAATATAATCATAAACAAAGCAAGACAAATGATATGTAAATGTATTTTGACATCATTTTAAACTCCTGAATACATTGGATCTAAATATCATGCAAACATGTGATTGATTAAATCAGGTTCAGTATCACTCACACTAATAATAACTCTTATCCTAAACCCAACGACTTTCAGAAGAGACCAGAATCAGGTCATGAGTTTGGGGCTTGTGCTTGAAAACGGAGGCACTGGTTATAGAGTTTCAAATGCAAAAGCATGCAGGTATTTAATGCACCTCAGTCCTGGGACGTTTTGAATAGCATCTCTGTTGCTGTGTTTAGATGCATCTGTTTCCCTCTTGTATATATGTTTATGTTGGGAAGATACTGAATGTTGAGCGACCTTTGGTGAGCGTGCTGCTGAAGGAGCTCTTCAGCTGCAGCTGCTTCAGAGCGGCCGGCAGGTCCTCCCTCTGATCGGGGGATAGATCCTTCACATCCAGCCCGTAATGATCCAGGAGCAGCGCCAGCCTCTGCAGAGAGCGCCCTGAATACACAGAGACACACGGTGACACACAGAAACACACAGAGACACACGGTGGCACACAGAAACACACGGTGGCACACAGAAACACACAGAGACACACGGTGACACACAGAAACACACAGAGACACACGGTGGCACACAGAAACACACAGAGACACACGGTGGCACACAGAAACACACGGTGGCACACAGAAACACACAGAGACACACGGTGGCACACAGAAACACTGGACCATGTGTCCAACTCATTCCAGCCGCTTTTCATCAACCCTTTATTAGTGCAACCTATTTATTCATTTGGAAGAATTAAACATTTTGAAAGAAGGGAATCGAACCCTTGCTCACTGAATTTCTTATTGACAATAATATATTTCTGGTTCATGTTTTGATGCACTTTTGCAGGACTTGTCATTTCTTTACTGTAGGTTAAAGATGTGATTAATTATTCAACTACATATTAAATGTTTAACCTGAGTGTGGGGATCAATAATAATACGTTAACACCTTATATTATGCAGTAGTACAATAGTTACCTGAATCTAAAAGTAGTAGAGGTATAAAGTAAGTCTAAATTGTGCAAGAAGTCGATGCTCTTATAACTGCTTTTCAATCTGATATCTCCAACATGTGACTTTGAAAGATGATGTCTTGCATTCACATCTGTTTTGTCTGTGCAGATGTTTATCTCCTCTCTCACCATCCAGTCCTGACAGGGCGTCGTACTCCTCCTGCTGCTGCTTCTTCTCTCCCTCCTGCTGCTTCTTCTTCTCTCCCCTCCTGCTTCTTCTTCTCTCCCTCCTTTCCCTGGTTCTTCTGCTGCTTCGTGCTGAGCTGAGACACCTGGGAAATGTAGTCCTCGCCGTAATCCAGTGGGAAGTCTAGCTCCGGGAAGAAGGACGAGGAGGAGGAGGAGAGAGAAGAGGGAAATCCTGCAGCTCCTCTGTGGCGGGAGAGAGGCTGCACAGGGGAGGAAGAGGAGGAGGAAGAGGAGGAGGAAGAGGAAGGGGAGGTGAGGTAAAAGGAGAGGAGGTTCTGGAGGAGCTGCCCGTCTGAGTCCAGAGAGTTTCTGGAGCGAGAGGAGGAGGAGGCGACGAGCCGATCTTCATCCAGAGAGTTCAGGGAGCGCTCCTCTTCCTCCTGGTAGCCGTACTGCTGCTGCTGCTGCAACACACACACACACACACACACACACACACACACACACACACACACACACACACACACACACACACACACACACACACACACACACACACACACACACACACACACACACACACACACACACACACACACACACACAAAATGAGGTCGGGGGGCTTGAGTTTGACAACCCTGCAGTAGAAGGTCAGAGGAGTTCCCCACCTTCTGGAAGGTGTAGGGGTCCGGCGGGGGCCTCTGCATGTGCACGGAGGATCGGGGGGGGTCCAGGATCATGTAGTCCACGTACTGTTGCATCATCTCGGGGTCAGCGAGGTCCTCCTGGACCCTCGGCTGCACGGGGCCCGGGAGCCTGGACACCCTGCGGAGAAAAGATGCAAGAGATGGCAATCTGAAGTCACAGGCTCCTCCAACAGAGCAACACATATATACATTAGGACAGAGAACTAATAAAACATCTCAAATATCAACTCAGACTGAACTCACACTGAAATGCATTAGCTACGTCTGCTGGAACATCATATATTGTCATTAAATAGAGTATAGATTTCTGTTCAAAGCATTTATTTTGCTCGATATAACAGTCATTTCTTAATGCAGTCTGGAGAGTGTTTGAGTCCCAGGCTCCTCCAACAGAGCAACAGGAACACATATAGGACATCAAACTAATTAAACAGAAAAATAGTGCAAGACAAGGGCTTTAATCAAATAAAATAAAATCAAGGTTTATTTATAAAGCTCATTTAAAAGCGATCTTTGGTCGGGCCAAAGTGCTGTACATGTAATAACTACAATCACATAAAAACACATTTCTATAATCACAATAAAAGACAATAAATTACAACAGTCGTGCTCCGCTCTGACTAGAAGGCCAGGGAGAAGAAGTGTGTCTTAAGAGTAGATTTAAAAAAAACCCTAGGGTCTAATAAAAATGTCTCTGTGTTTTATAGCTGGATTTGGAAGTCTGTGATAAAGTACCGTTTTTAATAAAGTTTTCTTACAGTTTGAGTGATTTCTCCTGAGGTTTAGAGGAGGCGACGGTGGGAAGGCGACTCAGCTGCGGCCGATGATCTCCTGCGTCACATCGTCCTTCCAGGTCAGACCTGCACCACCACACACACACACACAACACACACCACACACACACACACACACCACACACACACACACACACACCACACACACACACACACCACACACACACACACCACACACCACACACACACACACACACACACACACACACCACACACACACACACACACACACACACATATCAGACATCATAGCACCACAAACCAATGATTCATTACGTTTCAAATGGACTCACCTTGCCCCATCAGGTCTAATATGTTAACACATTATTTGATGTAGTAGTACAATAGTTACCTGCACCACAAACCACTGATGTATACGTTTTTTTTTTAGTAGTATCACTGTTCTTGTTTTATTGTTTTATGGTTCAGTGATATCACTTTTTCATTTGTTATTGTCATTGTCTGTCATACTCTGTAAAGCACTGTGGGCTGCGTCAGGCATGAAAGGTGCTATATAAATAAAGTGTATTATTAAAATGGCCTCACCCTGGCCCATCAGGTCTTTGAGGACTTGCTGCAGTTTGTGCAGGGCGGACACGGACACCTGGTACTGGACGGGCTCCTGGTGAGGGGCCCGGCACCGTCCGAACAAACCGTCTGCACAGGGAGAGAGACAAAAACAACAAGTCTGGAACATGGTGACATCACTCTGGAACACTGGAGACAATATAAAACAACAACACGTCCGTTACTGTCTGTCACAGCACAACATCACAGTGACATCACTATGAAACACTGGCGCTCGTATTGGCTAGCGATCCGAGGTATTGTACGTAATAGGATAAGGGGCGGGACATCTCTAAGAGCTTGACCAATCAAAATAGAGCTAACCAGTGTGTGTGTGTGTGTGTGTGTGTGTGTGTGTGTGTGTGTGTGTGTGTGTGTGTGTGTGTGTGTGTGTGTGTGCAAAAGTGAGAGAGTGGGCTGTGGTGAGTCATCACCTCTGTCTCTGTTCATCTCTCATCAAACACACACACACACACACACGAGGGAGACACACGGTCGTCAGGCAAGTGATGTCACTGTTGTCATGGAGACGGCGAGGGAGGGGTGCGATTGGCTGAGAGCGTCTGACGGAGGGAGACCTTGTTTACGTTGCACTCTCGCTCTTTTCTCACTCTTTTGTCTCTTTCACTCCGAACCCTCCACCTTCCTGCCGCCGTCACAAAACCTCGTACAGAAAACTACACAAGCCACACACTATCACACACACACACACCACACACACACACACACACACACACACACACACACACACACACACACACACACACACACACACACACACACACACACACACACACACACACACACACACACACACACACACACACACACTCTGAGTCTCAAATATCAACTCAGACTGAACACACACTGAAATGCATTAGCTACGTCTGCTGAAACATAATATATTGTCATTAAATAGAGAATAGATTTCTGTTCAAAGCATTTATTTTGCTCGATGTAACAGTATTTGTTATTCAGTCTGGAGTGTGTTTGAGTTGTTGAAACAGGCTAAATGTAATTTCTTTAACACAGTCTACAACTAACTTAATTCTACTTAAATATACTATGGATTAAATGCACATTACACATGTTTAAGGACATGAAACGGGCCTTTTCTTGCATGCAAACTGTAATTAGATTCATTATTCCAGATGTTGAAGCCAAACGACAGATGTTTCTCAACCCAAAATGTATATTATTTTATATTAAGTCTGGACATTTTTTATTTTGCTCACACATTAAGGAGGTTTCAGGCTAGCAAAGGCTTTGAGTTTGTTTTGAACAGCGTCTGAAAAGCAACCTGTTACTCCCTCTTTCCCCCACACACTGTCATTCTTACATTTCACCACATGCACTTCCGAGAAACACCCGGCATCAATAATTCAGCTTCAGACTCCGAGGGCTGCCACACACACACACACACACACACACACACACACACACACACACACACACACACACACACACACACACACACACACCACACACACACACACACACACACACATACATACACACACACACACACACACACACACACACACACACACACACACACTCGTGCACGCTCTTGTAATGACATCCTCGTCATGTTTGATTAGGCAGGACACACACGGAGGATCACAGAGGAGCGTTTGACGGACAGAAGACACGTCACACTTCCTGGAGCGTGTCTCTGCAGCTGGAGCGTGCTGGGATCGCTCGCTATTGGTCGAGTTTTTGTTATTCTCGTCACGCTGCATTCAGGGTACCGTGAATACCAGCTTCCCACTGGGGGGGGAGCGTTAGCCTCGCAGATGAGAGTATCTGAGAAGTTTTAATTTGGCTTCATGATGTGTGAAGAGAGAGAAGTGTATGATTGATAGATATAACATGTTAGACCTCCTTACAGGCCCACCTTTCAAATGAAAAGTCTCCTTTAAACTGTGTCCATTGAGGTCTAAGAGCAACCTTTATTTTTGAAAGGTTGTGCTTCTGTTTCTCCTTTGAATTCGGAAAGCATTGGAATTCTTTTGTACTGAATATCCTTGTCGTTTTGTCCTTGTAAAAACTTGATATTCTGTAATGGAATAAACTAGAGAGGACGTCACGTGTCCTTGTGTGTTGTATCTGTGCAAACATGTGATATGTGTGTGTTCTCTCTTTCATATGCATTCATTATTTGCATGCAACTCAAAGCCCTGCTGCACCTAATGCAGTCTGTTTCTTCATTACTATCAAAGCTTTCCAAGTCAGAAAAAGGTAAATTAGCAGAATCCTTATCGTCGTACCCAGCAGGGAATGATGATTTAAAATGTTGACGAAGATGCTTCATCAAAGGGCTTTCATTGGCCGCAGGGCGTTCAATGAAAGGGTTGTTTCGGAATGTCGTTTCAGACAATAGTTTGATATGTACATTGCAAATGAACTGATGTGAATGCAACCAGATGCCCCTCTGTTCCCTGTTTCTGGTTTCATGTTTATCGAAGGTTGGAGAAAAGGACGAACACTCACCATCGTTGCACAGCTGATCTCTCGGACAGAGCTTCTTTTCAAACAAACACCCTGTAGACACAAAAGGAATACAACATTTAACTGAGAAACATTCATTGAACACAAGAGAGGCCTTTCTCAAAACAGCCTCCTGTAACATCACACTTTTGCAGGTTTTCCGCCAGATTTTACAGCTAAATGTCTCATTATTTGGCTATTTTTATAAATATTAGGGGGGTTCATGAATGTGCATGTCACTCAAAATATGAGTTATATATTTTACAGAATTTTAAACAACAACATTTTGTCGGATTAAAAGCAGAAACAGGTGGATATTTGAAAAGAGATGTCATGAGATAACATGTTTTATGCTTGCATTCAAATGAGGTTTTTATGGGACAACGATGTGTTGCTTAGTGATGGGAAAATATGTGTGCGTGTTAGTGCGCGCGTGTGTGTGTGTGTGTGTGTGTGTGTGTGTGTGTGTGTGTGTGTGTGTGTGTGTTACAGTTGACCTTCTCACAGGTCCTAATCTGTAGCGAGGCTGTAAATGGCAGCAGATGTGAAGCCGCTCCGTTCTGTGTGTTTCCTGTTGTTTGCGTTGTGTTTTCATTAAAGTTTTATGTGTATAATTCACCTCGTCCTGTACACCTCGTCCAGTACAAACACCTCGTCCTTAAAATGTTACTGTGAGCGGTGATTAAAAGGACAAAACATCTCCTACAAATCAAGTCATTTCTGTCACTTCTACAGATTCTGTGTTTTACAATCTGCTCGTTAGACAGTCAATTACACCACCCTCTCCCCTGATTGGTCGGTAATGATGTGTAGTATAACAGTGACATTAGGACAGGCTGAGGAAACACACACACTCTCCTGGAAACACACAGCGAGGGGACATGAGAGGGGAGGTGTGTGTGGGCGGAGGACACAGATTAGTCATCATGTGGACGGAGAGAATCTTTGTTTTAGAATATCTCTCCACCTTTAATGCAGACTCTGAATCTCCATTAAAGGTTTGAGTCAGTACTAGGACATTTACTCAATTACTTAAGTACAACTATGAGGTACTTAGCTTCCTTAAAGTGTTCTATTTCCTGCAGTGTGTTATATAGCTTTTAGTGCATGTCAATGGTCTGCAAAGGCTACATAAAGAGCTTTTTGAACATTAAAGCATGGAGACCTGAACATGAGGAGAGTAGGGCCTCTTTGAGTCAAACACACCTTCAGGTTGATGATCAGAAAACTCTCATACTTTTCATATTAGGCAAAAAGAAAGCTGTAAAACTAAATGTGCTGTAACTTTAAGATGAGTCACATCATGACCCAGAGTAAGATGCAACAGGAGAACATATTCATGTATTGGTACTTTTACTGGAGTCTAAATACTTCCTTGAAAACATGGAAGAGGTTAAATTAAGAAAATGAGTCAGACTCATGATCACCAGCAGAGCCTTTTGTCGTCCATTAACTGTGAGCCAGATTGCATCCAGTCATTTCATAATGGTGCTGCTGTGTGCGTGTGTGTGTGCGTGTGTGTGTGTGTGTGTGTGTGCGTGTGTGTGTGATCTGTGGGCTGACGGAGGTTTTTTAAGCTGGGGTGAGTCAGACAGGCCGCAGAATATAATAAAACCTGCGTGGTGTTGAGCTGAGTGACAGCCAGGTTATACACGTTATCACACACTGATCACTTCGATTGGAGCTCACTGCATAAAGGGAATACAGGACAATTCTTATTATCTGCCCCAACAAAATCTCTATTTCCTCCTGTTTATGTAAATAAAAACAAAAGTTATCAGCTGCTTTTTATTTTATTGTGGAGTCTTTTTTTTTTTTTTTAAACGCCTCCATTGGACTCCTTTGTTTCCGGGACATAGTGACATCACTATGTAACTAGCGCTTCTATTGGCGTACAAATTGGACATGAAGGGCTAAGGGGGCGTGACATCTCTAAGCGGTTGACCAATCACAACCAACCAATCAGAGCATACCTGGCTCTGGTGTCAGACTGGTTGCTGTCCGTGGTGCTGAAACGGTTTCAAAAGCTTTTCTGTATTTTTCTTTCTTTTAATCTAACTGTCTCTTAAACACAAACACTCTAAATGATATTATCCATGACATGTCTCTTGCCTGTGTTATTCATCATGTTATTAACAAGACGTATAAATAGACTGTTTCTGGAGTTTTTACCACAACAACATTAAAACCAAGTATAAAATAACTATATACCCATGTTTGTATTACAACCCGCTAATAAACCTTAAAGTGATGCTAAAATGTTCCTAAGATTTAGTTTATTTACTGGCATTTAAATATGTCCAAGTATATCTATGATTGTATTTATTGAAGTGACTCAGGGGGCTAAGGGGTCAGGGTGAGGCCCCTAAAGCTTTTGGCTAAGTCTGTATTGAAATTGGGGGACAACATGTGCGATAGACGAGTATGAGGGTATTTTCTATCATTTTTCTTGTACCTACAGTATTTTTGTGACATATTCTTACAGTCTGAATATTATAAATAACGAGTTTTATCAATAACATTCTTATTTAATACTGATTTTGCTGTGATATTTGTATTCAAACTATTTTTTTTAAATAGGCCTTTTCATGTGGTCGCTCGCAGCTGCATCTCATGGATTATCTTTCTCTTGTATGATTTTATATTGGCTCCTTACAGACTCAGCATGTCCCTCTCTCTCTCCTGCTGTTTGCTTTCTTCTTCTTCTCATTCTTATTTTTTGTGTTTGTTGCAGACTCAACAACAAAATGATTCATCGGAGCAGACCCTCGGTCAGTGACGCACATGAGCTGTGCAGGAAATGCAACACATTTAGCATCAAGTTGTCCACGTTACATCCATCTCAATATCTGTGTGTGCTGCAAGTGGTCAAACATCGCAATTACAATCCCTCTCATAGAAATATGATATGTCCATGTGTGATTAGCATCAGGACTCTTGTTTAGTACACAACATTATGGGTGGATCGAATAACTTGAAGCACATATTTTACACAAATCTGCAGCTTATTGAAAGAAATGCAACACATACAGTATAGCATCAAGTCCTCCACGTTACATCCATCTCAATCTGTGTGTGTGCTGCATGGTCATACATCGCAATTAACATCCGTATTATTAAATATTATAGCCACAATGACCATTAGCATCAGGACTCGAGTTATACACAACATTATGGGTGGATCGAATAACTTAAAACCCATATCTTCCACAAATCCTGCAGTTTATTGAAATAAATGCATCCATAATCTCACAGCTTTGATAACGTAATGATATCAATAAGATACAAACAGGAACATAAAGTGCGTTAAGCTCGCTCCAAACTCGCGGGTAACTACTTCCCATCGCAACTGTCGTGATTTACGCGCCGCCCTGCAGCCTGCTCGCGGAGACTTCATTAAAATCAGACAGAAGAGAATCATTCTCCATCAGTCTGCGGATCTCTGGAGCCTCTTACCGTGTCTGGAGGCCGAGCAGAGCCGACAGGAGGCGGTGAGAAGCAGGCAGAGAGCCGCCAGGAGACGCGGAGACCTCATGGTACATCCAGCCTGCACCTTCAACAGCTCCCCATGTCTGATGGAGAGGGAGGGAGGGACCGACGGAGGGTGGGTGTGTGTGTGAGGGTGTGTGTGTGTGTGTGTGTGTGTGTGTGAGAGAGACAGGAAGAGTGAGATGTGGTGTTAGGAAACGGACCAGAGGAGGCGCCACACTGCAAGAAATACTCAAGGACTACAGCTATAAAGTGTGTGTGTGTGTGTGTGTGAGAAAGAGACATGAAGAGTGAGATGTGTTGTTAGTAAAAGTACCACAGGAGGCGCAGCTATGAAGGAAATAAAAGCTAATAAAATAATGAGAATGGTGGAAGACAGACCTCATATTTATCTTAAGTGAAAAATAGTAATACAACAATGTAGAAGTACTTAAGTAGAAGTGGTGCATGTAAAATCTTACCTTTAAGTAAAAGTGAAATCTAGGCTACTTGAAGTTTCATTTTCCACTGATGGAGCATTTTGTCTAAATCAATGATTATTGTATGTCTTGTTCTTGTATATTTTGCATGTGTAAATACTGTATATCTAAATGCATTCCCTTTGTGCTTCAACTTAAAACTGTAAAATTGTATTTATAGATATTTTATTGACTTATGTTGTATTTCAGTTACAAAATTGCATCGTATCGATAATTTGATCACCTAATTAATTGTATGTAAGCTTTATATTAGTATGAATCTAGTTTCCCTTCATAGTTTCAAAAGAGTATTTACTAAAAGGGTTTAATCAACACCTCTGACAGATTATTTAGACTTGTTTTAGTTTCTCATGCAGGATGAGACCTTCCACATTAACTAACATGTTTTAATAAACCCAAACAAAAAGGAGAGAAAACAGGGAAACCTTTCAATATTTTATTATTCGGAGAAACCATTTTCTAAAGAAAGGATTAGTCATTTCCAACACGTCGAGATTCTGTGCGTCATCTCCTTGCATCACATGTGGAAAACGACATCCTTTGAGTCCGTCAGCGAGTGTTTCGCCACAGCTTTAGTCGAGAACCAGAGACTTCCTCACGGTGGGGAACAACTCGAAGAAGCCCTGCAGGAGGAAGAGGGTGAGATCAAAAGAAGATCATAAAGATATCTTTCTGCAGCGGGAGAAAGGAAAGAAATTACATTAAATCAAAGCTGGAAAACAAAAGGAATCTGACGTGTGTGTGCCGGGAAGGAGAAGATATAAAACATGAGGTTTTCTCGATCGTCTGAACACATAAGGTCCATGTTTCAGCTGCCGTTTGTTTCCTTCAAATCATATTCCTTACCTGGAAAACATGACGGCATAATAAGCTTTTTCCAGGACTTTTTGAGAAGCCTGCATCCAGTGTTTCCCTTGGTTAATGTGTGAGGAACATGCAAGAGGAAGAGACCATGCAGGCCCTCGCTTGCTGATATATGGCAATATATCTTTCAATAGTCTATATCACTTCAGAAACAAATACCAAGAGGAATGCACATCACGAGTTTCCAGAGCACACGTTGGCGTCTTGTTTTCTCCAAAACTAAAAGATATTCAATTTATAATCACAAGTCCTCGCATTGAAGAAGCTGAAATAGCTTTATTATTGAAACTGTATTCAGATTACTTTCAGAGCCATCATGTATTCAGTATTCAGGCACTAAGTACATTTACAAAGTAACCCTCCCAACCCTGGACACTACACACTGAAATGAACCTGGAAAGGAACATAGGGCCCCTTAAAACAACAACAACAACAACTAACTACCTTTTAACTTCACATCAAAAACCTTTTTAAAATCATGTCATAACAAACTCAGAAGTATTTGTAATCCGCTACTTCCCACCTCTGGAGTTATACATATATAAATAGACGTCAGGGTGCCTCTGTTTGTGTTTTCTCTCACCTTGAAGAGGGTGGTGCTCTGCAGGACGCTGGAGGTGCAGCACATCTCTCTGATGGAGTGCATGGAGAGCTGCGGGGCCCCGATGTCCACCACGGGGACCCCGAGGCGGGCAGCGAGGATCGGACCGATGGTCGACCCACAGGGGCTGTCGTTACGCACCATCACATCCTGAAAACAATTAGAATGGAATATCTCTGTGTCTCCTATTGGCCTGCAGCTCCAACACATTGTACGTGATAGGCTAAGGGGCGGGACATCTCTAAGCGGTTGACCAATCACAACAGAGCCAGCCAGCTAACCGATCAGAGCAGACTGGGCTCTGGTTTCAGACAGAGGGTGAAAAGAGGTGCTGCAGCACAGGCGGTATGTGAAAGATAAAGAACTTTTTGAACATTAAAGCATGGAGACATGTCCCAGGAGAGATAATAAATACAAATATGAACATGAAAGTGAGCATAGGGCGCCTTGAAAAAACAAAAACTATTTTTATTTCACACGTTTATTTATTTGCTTCGAGATCTATGTTCACTTCAGAGAGACTCAAGACAAAGATGCTCTGGCTGCAGACAGGTCATTTCTAATCACACACACACACTCTGACACACACACACTCTGACACACACACACACTCTCTGACACACACACACACACACTCTGACACACACACACACACACACACACACTCTCTGACACACACACACACTCTGACACACACACACACACACACTCTCTGACACACACACACACAGTACCTGCAGGGGCACGTCGACCTGTCCAGCGATCTCCCTGATGACGGCGGCGGTGACGGCCGTGGTGGCGTAGCGCTGGTTGCCGTTGAACTTCAGCACTGGGCCCTGAAAGGAACATTATAAGAATATAAGTCACAATTATTATGATGATTATTTATACATTTATAATCAACAGGATGTAAAAACAAGCATGGCTGCAGGCGAGGATTTCTTTCAACATGTAATCATGCATTCATGTTGGATTTATCGTTATATAAAAAAACTGACAAAAATACAGAACAATACTCATTTAGAATTTAAGATCTCATCACCTTGTGGAAAGCTGGGCGATGGTTCTCCTCATGCTTCTCCCTGAGGAGAGAATGAAAAAGTGAGATACATTTAAGATATGCAGATATAAGGTGTGTTTGTGCAGATATATGGTGTGTGTTTGTGCAGATATATAGTGTGTGTTTGTCTAGATATTGTGTGTTTGTCTAGATATTGTGTGTTTGTCTAGATATTGTGTTTGTGTGGACACTCACTGGTAGTTCGGGTGCACGGCGTGGGCCATGTCGGCGCTGATCATGAAGGAGAGCGGCGCCGCCTGCTGGAAGGCCGTGAGGTTGGAGGCGGAGGAGGAAACGCGGCTCAGGATGAGCTCCGTCAGGTTGGACTGAGCCCCCTGAGCACTCTCTGAGCCCACCTGGAGTAAACAACAACAAACTGTCACGTAAACACATTCATTCTGGACTGTTTAGGTAAACAGTGGAACGTGTGTATCATTATTCCCCAGGGTACAAGGAAACAAAGCATTTCACAGCTGCTTGTTTACGCTCACCTCCTCGTTGTCGTACAGCATGATCATGCGGACGTTGGTGTCTTTGGAGAGAGAGTCTCCAGAGCAGGACTCCAACAGAGCCTGACCGGCACAGAGAAAGAAAAGCAGAGGACTGGATATCACAAAAACATTTACTGGAGTTACGATAAAAGCTGTGTTAACTTTCAGGAGTTACCCGATGCCTGTTCAGAGAACACGTCCACACATTTGAATGAAGGGTTCGAACTACAGAAAAACGGAATAAATAAATATATGTTCTGACCTGCAGGGCGCAGTAGCAGCTGTGCAGGTTGTCCAGACGAGCAGAATAAATGAACTCCTCGTAGATTCCTCCCAACGCCTGCAGAGAGGAAAAGACCCTCTTTTATTTTAACTTCTTAGGTTTATCTAAATATCCTTATTTGATCTTTTTCATTGCATGTTCCTACTTCAACTTCTGTAGTAGGTTTACACATACAAGGAATTATATGTGGGGTTTTGGTTCATACAAAAGTGTAGTAAGAGAAATACAAATGGAAAGTTAAATGCAAATATTGAAAAAAAAGAACTTTCATGATGTGAAACATGCAGTATATATATGATGTAAAATAGAAAGCTTTGCAGTGGTGATACTCTGCAGAACGGTCCAGAGTAGTTCGGAGTATCCCTGCTGCTTTAGAGGTGATATCAGATAAGGACAGGAGACAGGAAGTGGGTTTATCTGCAGACTCACCGCGGGCTGCGTGTCGGCGAGACAGAGCTCAAAGTCCAGCAGAGCTTCAGGCTCCACGTCGAGCTCCGAGCACAGAAGCTTCACCAGCGCCGGGTGGTGCTTCTCCGCCTGGGGAGGGAAAACACCTGTCACCAGATATCATGCAACACAAATCTGCTTTCTCATGCAGCTCATTATCCTTCAAAGAAATGTCTAGCTTTTGCAAGTAGCACATGTGTGTTTTACCGTGTTAGTAGCACAGGCAGCGTCACCAGAGGAAGCACAGCCCGTCTCCAGCTCCTCCTGAACCACCGTGGCGATGATGGGCACCCTGAAGAAAAAAACATGTGATGAATGAAACCTATAATATGTGTCCGTCCGCTCCACATGTATGCAAGTCTGTTAAAGTTCAGTGTTCTTCACTGACAGGTGGTTCTCCTTGTTGGGGCCGAAGGAGTCGTTGACGTCTCTCTGCAGGTGGATGGCCAGGTGAGGGATTCTGAGCAGAGGCCGAGACACGTGGAACAAACGCTGCACCAGACGCCCTTCTTTCTGTGGGAGGAACACACACACACACACACACGCACACACACCTTCAGCTCCAGTCCTTAAACCTGCACAAAGTGTATGGCAATGTTTCTGGTAAACAAGACTAAATTAAAGATGTGATAAATAATCGAATAAGTACCTTGATGATGACGCGTCCGGCGAGGGTCAGGTCGCGGTCGAACCAGGTGTTCCAGATGCCTCCGCCATAGCACTCCACCCCGACCTGCAGGCAGCCCTGCTTCGTCCGCTTAGACCTCGGCTTCACCTGGAACACAAATGAAATACTTTATTATTAGTCCACGCGTCTCCAGTAATTGCATATCTGATTTGACACCTTTTAAGATGTGTTTTTTGCTATTTTAAGAGAATTTTAAACACAATTTTAACGCTTTTCTTTTTCTAACGTCTGCATGAGCCTAATTTAAGAGGCATTTTATACATTATTTTTAATAATCAAATTGATGATGGCAAATATATTGGATATTTGACTATATTCAGACTGTGGATGTACAGTAATAAAAGTTAATTTGATAAGGTTGTGATTGACAGGTGGATGTGGGCGGGCTCTCACTCTGAGGCAGGGGCTGTCAGTGTGCGCTCCGATCATCGAGAAGCCGTTTCCGGGCAGGAAGTGTCCGCCCACAGCGAAGGCGATGAGGCTCGAGTAGTTCCTGGTCACAAAGTACTGAAGACGGCAGAGGAGCAAATCATTCAGTATCCAACATGTAGAAATCATATTTGTACACACAATACATGCTATTTATTAACCAAATACGTCGATATTGATGAGATATTGAAGGCTATTGGTGCTTTCACAACATATTTACATAATGATGCATGAAAGCAATCATAAATAAAGTGGGTTTAATGACTAAAAGCAACTACTATAAAGCTATATCAGTCTGGTGGTACACACCTCCTAGAGCACCATTGAGTTATTTTTAACCAAATATCTCTCAGAGGGGCGTGGGGAGGGGCTCCTTATTTTCATCTAAAGTAACAGACAGAGAATCAGCACTTTGGAAACAGGGCTGAAACAGAGGGGATTATGGGATGCTGCAATGATCTGTTTGGTGTTTCAGCCAATCAGAGACAGGCTCTGGATATATCTGAGACCTGTGATATGTGGATGAGAAACAGTATAATAGGGGACCTTAAAAGTGAAATTCAATGCAACAACCAGCTAACGTGTTTATTATGGTCTGTGAGGTACCTTGCTGGAGGGCTTGATGTCCCACTGCTCTGCCTCCTTCAGCTCGATGAAGCCGGCCTGAAGCAGACGTCGTTTGCACTCCTCCACGACTACAGAGACAGAAATACTTAGAAGTGCTGACACAGATATATTTGTTGGGTTTTTGTATACGTCAGGGATCTTTCATTTAAGCTGCATCTACTTCCTCCAGTCTGGAACTAAGTGGTCAAAACTTGTGATACAATTTGACAACACAAGCTGTAAGACTATGGCAGACTCTTGCTAGTCTGCTATTTTATTTCTACTGAGATGTTTACATTTTGGATTGTTTATTTCTTGTCATTTTTAATGTACAATTCCATGTGTTTTTATGCTGCTGCAACACAAACATTTCCCAAATTGGGATCAATAAAGTACTTCTTATCTTATCTTAATACTATCATAGTCTCTCACATCTAAATGTCAGTTTATAAAAGGGTAAAAGCTCAAACTGAAGGACTGAGAGTAAGACAATGTGAGGAACATCTCCTGCAAATGTTTCTGCATTATAGGAAAACATACTAACTAACATAAACACAGGGTACTTATCATTGCTAACTTACATGCACATTGAAGACACACACTGTGAGACACCAGAGGTTAAAGTGCAAAGGTAGGAGACATTGTGAAATATATTTTGTCCATCTGCACATCTTATCTCAAAGTCTCATAAGCTCAAAGTCGTATGTTAACAAGAACACTGACTCGACTTAATGCTGACACTTGAATTGTATAAACTATAATGTAAGCACAACTTTTAACTGTGCAGGATTAAAGCTTTGAGCAGTAACATGGACCATAACATGATATATAGTAGTAAACACTGCACATTAAGTACATGTTACCTACATAAGGTGCATGACTGGTTCTTGTAGTAGAGTATTGTCCCAGTGCTGTTCTAGTATGTTTACCAAGGGTCCAAACACTTATTCTACCACAGTTAGTTTTAAAATGTGGAAAACTAAAATACTTTACCATGATATGGAGAGACTCCTTTGTTGACAAACTGCAGGAACTCTTTGGCTGCAGACTGCACGGCCTCTTTGGAGCTTTTCATGATGAAGGACTGAGGAAAGAAGGAGTAAAAATAATAAGTCACAAGTTCGTCAGAGGGAAGTGATACAGCAAAGCTAGCAGCTACAAGTTACAACTTCGGACACTTATCGCGAGATTTCAGCCTCTTTTTCTCTACTTTCCGATCGGCGAAGAACATGTAAAAACACGATAATAACAACCAATATAAAAGTAGTAAAATAACACGCTTGACTTTATGTTAATATTCACATTAAAGTGCAATAGCTTATGCTTGTCCGATAAAGGGCGCACCTGTGTTTGGCTAACCGTAGCTAGCTAACCTGCACGGGATTTGTGTCTCTTCTTCTTCTGCGAGCTTCTCTGTTCAAAATCAAAGCAGCTCTCAGTGAGGATCCAAACACCTCCGCACGCCACTGAGACACAATATACCTGTTTATGACACTTACCTGCATTAATTGCACCTTCAAACTGTGAACTTTGGCAGTAACGAGAAGCAGACACAGATTAGCAAGACAGCAGCAGAGAGAGAAGCTGTCACTGTTATCCAGTCACAGCGCCACAGCGACATCCAGCGGCCAGGAGGTGTAATTACAACCACTATATTATTTACCCACATATTCAGAATATTTATTTTTCACATATTAATAGTTAATATATAGGTAGGTAGGTAGGCTATGCTAAAGAGATGCAGAGACTGAAAGCTTAGCACTGCTTAAACCTGACCCATTTTTTTCCTTGTGTGTGTACAGATGTGTATGTATATAAATGGTATATGCATATGATTAATTGCAAGCCCACCGTCATAATTGCCTACTATATATATTTGTTTTAATACTTTATATTATCCTTCTTTTTATTTTTAAAGTTATTTTAGTCATATATTGTCTCTTAAAATTATTATTTATTTATAAAATATATATTTTACAATAAAAAAAAACCTAACCTTGTGAGAAATCTTTAAGTTTTGTTTAACCTTTTATTTTTTAACCTTCTCTCTCTCTTTGACTCATGTCAGTTTATATTTAAATCCATCACAGTATGACCGCAGGAACCAGCCTTATATAGTCCTGAACGTCGAGGGAGGGGAGGGGAAGAGGAGCGCCTGAAAACGATGAAGAGATGTTTATATCAGCTGTCTGCGAGAGGCGTCTTGAGGAAGCACAGGGGGATGAACACACACACACACACACACATTCTCTCACACACGCACACACATCTCACACACACACACACACACACACACACACACACACACACACACACAACACACACACACACACACACACACACACACACACACACACACCACACACACACACACACACACACACACACACACACACACACACACACACACACACACACACACACACACACACACACACACACACACACACACACTATTATTAGATAATAAAATAAATGCATTCATGAGATGATGACAGGAAGAATTGGGTTTTAAACTAATGAAACATTGAGGAAATATGTGACACTGTTAGCCCTTCAAATGTAAGTAATACCACTTTGTCTGTGTTTGTTTTCCAAGATACTTTTGGTTGTATAAAGATCCAACCCACAGATTGTCTCATAACATTTGTTTTAGAGATCAAATAAGATAAACTATTATTTATCCTCACAGGGAAATCCAAGTTTCAGAGCAGTGATAAGAGAGAAAGCGCGTTAAGTCCAGATAAAAGATCATTGTTAAAATGATTAGTATATGGTTCCTTTTCCCCTTTAAGCGTTGCAGATAGGAAGCTCCATTTAAATCCACTCCACTGTCACACTAATGGTTGTCATTATAATAATGGCACCTATTGTTTGGGAATGTGTGCTTCCTCCCGCTCTGGGAACGCCTGCAGGGACACAGTGTTCGGTCTCTCAGGATGGGATACTTTTCCTTTTTAAGGCAGGTTAGAGAAAGCATTAAAGATCTGCTCAGCCTCTCCATGTGAGGACGGACGCCGACTCTTCACCGACTCCACATCGTGATGTCGTGAGATCACAGACGCAGGTCCTCTAAACTAAATGACTTGATAGGTCAATGACATCATCTTCAAAAAACTACGTCTCATTCATTTCAATGACACGTACCAATGCAGAGGATCCCTGCAAAAAGAAAACGCGACAATGACAAGACGCTAAAATGTATATATTGGTTAAAAGAATTGCACACTTTTTCCCAATTGATGTCTCCATGCTTTAATGTTCAAAAAGCTCTTGTTTAGCTGGTCGGCTCAGTTGTGATTGGTCAACCGCTTAGATATGTCCCGCCCCCTTAGCCGATCACGTACAATGTGTTGGAGCACTAATAGGAGCAAGAGTGTTACATAGTGATGTCACTCTGGAGGGACCACAGGGATTTTAGCCTTTGCAGACCATTTACATGCACATAAACCTACACATCACTTTCATCTATGAGACTGAGGTCATTCTTTCTTTCCTTACTCTCAGCGTCACAGCTAGCTAAAAGGATGTTCAGAGGGATTTGATACCAACGAAAACCACAGACAAGTGGCAGTGAGAGAAAGGGACATGAATTATGAATTCAAGGGTAAAAGAGGAGGAGAGAGGAATAAGTGGAGGAGGAGAGAAAGACAGAGGGAGTAGATGAAGGAGATAGGAAAGGAGAAAAGGAAGGTGGAAGGAAAGGAGAAAAGGAGAGAGAAATAAAGGGAGGGCAGTTCTCAGGGAGGAGGGAGGGGGTAACTACAAATACTCTTGGAGCATCTGGATCTCCCTCAGTGCTCCTTCTGCTGCAGCCCATCTTCCAACATGACCTCCTTCAGCTCCTCCGCCCAAAACGCTTCCTCTTACCGACGCCACTTCGGACACGGAGCCTACGCCTCGCCATCGCTCAACCGCTCGCTGCTGGGCCACGGCTCCACAGGGGGCAATGTCTCCTCCAGGTGGGAACTAGTGGAGTACAAATACTCTGTTTTTCTGACAATTATTGTTCTATTAATATAAAGGGAGGTCAAGTACTCTTTAAAACAGCTGCTAGTTATGGGTACTTTTTACTGAAGTACATTTCAAAGTTCTTTACTTTTACTTGAGTAAAGAAGTTTAGTCAGTACTTGAGTAGGCCTATCTGTACTTCTTGAGTAAAGGATGTGTGTACTTGTACCATCTCTCAGGGTGTACGAGGTGACTCGGAGCAGCTCCGCCCCGGCGTACCGTGTCTCCTCCGGTCTCTACGGGAAACCTCAAGCCACCTCTTCCTCCCGAGCCTCCGCCGGACGATGCTACGCAGGAATGGGCGAGACGCTGGACTTCAGCCTGGCCGACGCCATCAACCAGGAGTTCATGACGACAAGAACCAACGAGAAGGTTGTTAAATCACAAGATTCAAGGCTTTTATTGTCATTTGTACATAGCTACAGTGTAGATATGTCAATGGAAATCTTAGGTCACAGGCTCCTCCAACAGTGCAACACAATAAAACAGACACAATAGTGCAAGTAAATAGAAGTAAATCCAATCCAATCCAATCCAAAGGTGGAGCTGCAGCACCTGAACGACCGCTTCGCCAGCTACATCGAGAAGGTTCGCTTCCTGGAGCAGCAGAACCAGGCTCTGGCGGTGGAGGTGGAGCGCGTTCGAGGCCGCGAGCCGACACGCATCGCCGACCTTTACGAGGAGGAGATGAGCGAACTGAGGAGGCAGGTGGAGATCCTGACCAATCAGAGGGCTCGGGTGGAGATAGAGCGAGACAACCTGGGGGACGACGTTGACAAGCTGAAGCTCAGGTGGGCGTGTGTGTCTCTTTAAGAAAAGTGTGTGAGTGTGTGTGCAGTTGTTCGATTTGAGCTGTGTGTGTGTGTGTGTGTGTGTGTGTGTGTGTGTGTGTGTGTGTGTGTGTGTGTGTGTGTCAGATTGTAGCTGTGTGTGTGTATGTGTCAGATTTGAGCGGTGTGTGTGTTTGTGTGTGCACGTGTCAGATTTTAGCTGTGTGTGTGTTTGTGTGTGCATGTGCGTGCGTGCGTGTGTGTGTGTATGTGTGTGTGTGTGTGTGTGTGTGTGTGTGTGTGTGTGTCAGATTGTAGCTGTGTGTGTATATGTGTCAGATTTGAGCGGTGTGTGTGTGTGTGTGTGTGTGTGTGTGTGTGTGTGTGTGTGTGTGTGTCAGATTGTAGCTGTGTGTGTGTATGTGTCAGATTTGAGCGGTGTGTGTGCATGTGTCAGATTTTAGCTTGTGTGTGTGTGTGTGTGTGTGTGTGTGTGTGTGTGTGTGTGTGTGTGTGTCAGATTGTAGCTGTGTGTGTGTATGTGTCAGATTTGAGCGGTGTGTGTGTTTGTGTGTGCACGTGTCAGATTTTAGCTGTGTGTGTGTTTGTGTGTGCATGTGCGTGCGTGTGTGTGTGTATGTGTGCGTGTGTGTGTGTATGTGTGCGTGTGTGTGTGTGTATGTGTATGTGTCAGATTTGAGCTTGTGTGTGTGTGTGTGTGTGTGTGTGTGTGTGTGTGTGTGTGTGTGTGTGTGTGTGTGTGTGTGTGTGTGAGTGTGTGTGTGTCCTGCATTTTTTTACTAAAGTAGAAGTAAAAAAGTGTTGCAGCAACTAAAACAAATATAATATTAACCTTAGAGGTAGCTTACTTCACAACACATATTATAATGATACATACTTTAATAACTGAACAAATATATTGTTATGTTTAAAGTCTGCTGCTGAGTCTGTATCTAATCTGGAATATTCTCTAGTTTGCTTATGCATACAAATGATGGATGACACACACACACACACACACACACACACACACACACACACACACACACACACACACACACACACACACACACACACACACACACACACACACACACACACACACACACACACACACACACACACACACACACACACACACACACACACACACACACACACACACACACACACACACACACACACACACACACACGGTGTTTACACTGCCCTCTTCTATAAAAGGAGAGGAAAGCGCTGCACATATCTGAAGGAGCTCTGATGATCTGTCCTCTGTCTCGCTGTTGTTTACATAATGAGTGTCAGTTTTATACAGACACAGAGAGTCTACTGTCATCCATCGGTAAATAATCACTGCAACGTCCTTTAAAGGATTTTAATAATGAATAAAACCTGTTCAGATGATTTAATCTGGGTTAGTACTTGTCGGGTAACCTTTAGGATAATTCAAGTTTTTTTAGACACCGTCGTCTATGTATATTTAAAGTACGTTTCCAATCGGATTTCTGATCTCCAGACTCCAGGAGGAGATGATCCAAAGAGAGGAGGCAGAGAACAACCTGGCTGCTTTCAGGGCGGTGAGTGCATTCATTCTGTATTACAGCAGAAGATATCAACATGACTGCTTTACTAACTTTTCATCCTGACTTACCGACCGGTTGCAGGATGTGGACGCTGCCACTCTGGCTCGTCTGGATCTGGAGAGACGCATCGAGACGCTCCAGGAGGAGATCGCCTTCCTGAAGAGGATCCATGAAGAGGTCTTTTTCTGGCTCTTTGTGCAAAAGTAGAAATATTATGGCTTATTTGGTCACTTTGAGGCAAAGATTATGAACTTGTTTGACTAATTTAAGGACAGTTAGGAGTACATGTAGAAAGAGATATGCTAGACCAGAAATGGAGAGCTTCCAAACTGGACAACTACCTTGTGATTGACATATCCAATCAACACTGAAGTCCCGCCCTAAAGCAAACCCTTTTTTTAGTCGTCTATTTAACTTTAAATAGGAGCATAGTTTACTAAATGAGCATGCTGTATTGAAGAACACTTGAAACTAGAGATTGAGACCATTAACTCATCAGGAAAATGTCTACTGAAATACAAATCAAGAGAGAATTAGGGACATTTCTCATAGACTTCTATACAATTGCAACCAGTGCTGATATTACAGAGAATGCAGGTTTATCACCACAAAAACTCACCTGACCTAATCCTCCTCTTCCTCCTCCTGCAGGAGATCAGAGAGCTCCAGACACAGATGCAGGAGACTCAGGTTCAGGTCCAGATGGACATGTCCAAACCGGACCTGACGGCGGCGCTGCGGGACATCAGAGCTCAGTACGAGGGCATCGCCGCCAAGAACATCTCCGAGGCCGAGGACTGGTACAAGTCAAAGGTGAGAGACTGGTAACACGGACTGTGGAGAAAAGGTTTGTGTTAAAGGTCTCCTATCATGCTAAATGCGCTTGTATACAGTGTTAATTTTGGCAGCTATTTTAGATGTAGTTTTAAGACGAAAATGGTTATTAGTTTTAGTCACATTTTAGTCCTTTTTATCCTTCATAGCTTTAGTCTAGTTTTAGTCGATGAAAAATCATTACATTTCAGTCAAAATGTTTCCTCTCTTTAAACTAATTCAGTTAAATACAAGGGTCTGAAATTGGAATCAAGGTGACAGTAGTGTTGAAATTCGTAAAGCAACATTTCACTCTCTATTACTTGTGTAATAGAGTGACGTGTGCAGATTCCCAGAATCCCAACTAATTCAACCAATGACAGGGATGCATTTTGACAGACAAGACGGACAATTGGGGGGAAATATCCTGCATTTTGAATGTCCGATAGTCCACCATTAACACCTTAGTCCCGTCTCGTCTCGTCAACGAAAACAAAATATACATTTCGTCATAGTTTTTATTATAAAAAATCTCATCGTCTCGTCTTCGCCCTATCAGAAACGTTGCTGTGGGAAACAATGCGCGACGTGTTTTGGACGTAATATGGTCTAGCAAGCGTCGCTGACACTCAGATGTCTAAAATGCATGATCTGTTTGGTATTTTGAGCAAAACACATCCTAGACATGTTTTTTATATATTTGTATATATCTGAGACCCATAATATATGCCTAAAATAGCATAATAGGAGACCTTTAACCTTCATAGCAGTGGAAGGCCATTTTACTGTCCAGCTTGTGAGAAGTGGGTCCAATATTTACTTAGGTGACTCCAGGACAAGATAATTGGTCATAATGTGTGTTGACAATCAATTCTCCCATTGGAGTTAATTGACCTGACCTCCTCATGTGACAGAGTTGCAGGAAATTGACTCCGAGAGGGGCCTATCTTTTTTCTAAAAACATCTGTCGTGACCTTTGCCCCCCCAGGTGACCGACTTGAACCAGGCGGTGAGTAAAAACAACGACGCGCTGAAGACGGCCCGGCAGGAGACCATGGAGTTCAGACACCAGATCCAGTCCTACACCTGTGAGATCGACTCGCTCAAAGGCACCGTACGTCACACACACACACACACACACACACACACACACACACACACACACACACACACACACACACACACACACACACACACACACCACACACACACACACACACACACACACACACACACACACACACACACACACACACACACACACACACACACACACACACACACACACACACACACACACACACACACACACACACACACACAATGTATTCATTTCAACAAGGACCATGCCTACAAATGCATTCATCTCAGAAAAGAGAAGCGATGAATTATGCCAGATTTGAGCTAATAGCTCATTTCCATCTGCAGTCAAGATTGAGTTGTCCCTTTGGAGTGAATCAGGCCATTTTCAAGTTTACCAGTCAACCAATCAACACAATTCATAACTTGACACACACACGCTCTGTTTCACACACTTGTTCTCGTGCACATGCAGAACGAGTCCCTGATGAGGCAGATGCGGGACATGGAGGACCGTCACGGGCGCGAGGCAGGAGGCTTCCAGGACAACATCACTCGGCTGGAGGTGGAGATCTCCAACATGAAGGACGAGATGGCGAGACACCTCCGAGAATACCAGGATCTGCTCAACGTGAAGATGGCGCTGGACGTGGAGATCGCCACCTACAGGAAGCTGCTGGAAGGAGAGGAGAGCAGGTGAAGTAGGAGGGCAGGAGCTAAAGACTGAATATGAAACTACATATAGGGTGCTGCATGCATCATCTGCCAAAAGGGTTAAAAGGACATTTTTCTGTCATAAATGCAGAATGATGTGTGAGGAAAAGAGAGAATAGATTTGATATTCTCTTTTCAAAATATGTCAGACAACAAACTAAACATTAATAATGATATAATCTATTTATAATTGTAAATGTATATTGTATGTATACAAGAAAAAAACATGTTAATAATTTAGTTTTTGGGAGAAGGGGTGGGATTAAATAAGTGTAAACTTCTTCCCACCCCTTTTCGGATGTGTAGTTAGGTAGATAATTTGTTATTACTACATTTGTAAGTCAATAATATTTGTTTTTATCAATTTGATACTGCTTAAGTTTGTACAGTATCATAACTCTCTTGTTTCATTTCATTATTAGTTTTTGTATTATCGTTTTACACGTTCAAATCAAATCAAATCAAATCAAATCAAAACTATGACTGAATGAATCCCAGTTTTAAAACACATTTTTTCGTCTGCCTTTGCAGGATCACCTTGCCTGTGCAGAGTTACTCCACCCTGAGCTTCAGAGGTACGAACACACCTGCTGTCCCCTGAACGCACCACAAGAGGACAGTCTGTACAATGCAGATCACTTTTCACACAATGAGCCATCACCATTTAAATGTTGAATGAAAGAGAAGAAGAAGAAGAAAAGAGGAATCATTGTATACTAAATATCATGTTCTGTGGTGGATTATGTGTGCTGGGTTTTCAGACAACTACTTTATTATATTTTGAGGGGATTTTTAAACACTTTAGTATAAGTTTAATTCATTCTCTTCCTGTGTGTTTGCAGAGACCAGCCCTGAGCACCAGCGCTCCTCTGAGCTGCATTCAAAGAAAACCGTCCTCATCAAGACCATCGAAACCCGCGATGGAGAGGTAAAATAAAAACACATTAGAGCATGAATACTGCAGGAGATAGAGACCATCACTGTAACATGAACTACAAACGGCTGTAGGATTCAGTGTACATCAATGTTCACTTATTGACTGCTTCAAATCTCCGAATTGGCCTACTTTGATATTGATCAGTGCTTAAACTGGGTCGGTGTATACTTCATTCTGCCCTTAAAAGCTAAAGTGTTTAATGCACAGCCACTGAAATCACATCCTGTCCTGATGAAGAGGTCATAGCTCAGTTAGTGTTCAATATATAGTCTTTTTTAGCACTCATTTCTGCAGAATAGCATTTGTTTCCATCTTTCAAACTGTTGTAAACAAAGTGATGACCTGCTCGCACGACATGGTGACAACCAGGCGGCACTTTGTGAAGTAAACACACCTACACACACATGCAGCGACAGGTTCACATCGTCTCACGCTATACCCGCAGCGCCTCGGAAAAACATACATCCCAGGCGTGTTAGGACACGTCAGGTTTTATAGTAATTATGTCTTGGTATTTCTTCTCCGAGTTATCTTTGATACATAGTTGAAATTCTTTGCAATATGAGAGGATTAAATACCTTGTTTTCATATCTATAAAGTCACAACTCTAACACACACAAACAAAGAGGAATGGGTCCAAAAAGTAGAGATTTCACAACATTAATAAACATCTTGTTGTCTTATTCCTGAGGACAACCAAGCTACTCTAACCCACATGAGAAAGTCTGTAGCTAAAAATGTATAAATTACAGACAAAAGGTGACAAGATTTGTGATTAGTTAAGATAGATAAATGCATATATATGTCTGATCACAGGTTAAGAATATGCAGTATGTGTGCATGTTATACTCACAGGACGTAAGGTGTTCCTGGAGCCATGATGTCCCGGCTGTCAGACGTTTTATTCAGACAGAGAACTGTGCTTTCATTCAGCACCTCTATCTCCCTTTAGGAGTTTTGATATCTCTGACTGTTTTGTTTCTGCCCTCCAGGTCGTCAGCGAGTCGACGCAGCACCAGCAGGACATCATGTAACCATCTGCAGAAACAAGAGAAGAAGAAACAACAACACGCCTGTCCTCCACCGAGTCAGACGGATGAAGAAGTCAAACAAGATGCACAAATAAAAAGAAAAAAGACTTCACAGACTCATGACATTGTGGTTAATGCAATAAGTAAGGTGCTAGAATCATTCACGTTATCAAGGTTATTTTCATCTGTGGTGTGTTAGGCTGGATTTTACATATACAAAAACTCCATCTATAGTCTTTTCTGTGTTTAAATGAAACCCTAAAAGCCTATTTTCTTTTAAGAATTGTATCTGAAAGAATAAGGTGGGTCATGACATGAAATAGAGTCAAATCGAGATACAACTTTACTTGAAAAGGAGATTTTTTTGCAGTGAATCAACATGAAATATACAGCATTTCTGCATCTGAAATGCTGCAATAGTAAATACTGTTGCTGAATAATCTTCCTGCTCTGCAATTTAGGTTAAATGTCACAGAAAATGGATTAACCGTGCACATGTTCTACTTATGCATCTGATTAAGTGTGCAGAAAACGCATATTTACATTTGATTTCTGACTTTTCTTCCACACACGGCAGCGTTTATCCTCAAGGTCAGAGTCACATAAGTCCGATAAGGAGTGTTAAGGAAGTGTATGTGTGTTTGTTGTTATCAATAAAGAGATGTAGAAAGGACAAAAGGGAGATGGAGGAGGAGGAGATGAAAGCAAGAGATAGGAGGTGGTGTGAGGAGGAGGAAACAGGAAGAGATTTGTTTAGGAGATAATCCCTTGTGACTTTCAAACACTATTTGCTAATAAAAGTGAATGAAGTTCAAATGCGTTCATGTCCTTCAGTAAAAAGACGACACACACACTGATTTGTTTACAGGCCCATAGGAACACATGCTTTAATATTCATCATGTTCAATGAAAGCATGGAGTTACTGGCCCACAGTGATGACATTGCACTCTCCTTTACAGAATAAATAAAATCAGCAAATAAATACATCCCACTGGGAAAAAACATCTTAATAAGATTTCTGAAAGGAAATTGAAAGATAAAAATAAGAAAGTTAGTAAGTGCTGTGTTTTATGTACAGATGTCACATCGATGCACATTAAAAAGGGTGAGGGGACGCAGTTTGGGGGGGGTGTTAGTCATGCACTTCCCACGGATGAATTAAAAACGTACCATACACCCCCCCCCCTACCCCATATTAGCTTTGCTCTTCCTTTAACGAGGTCAAGACCATTAAAGTATTCACATTTTCACAGGTGACAGAAATGTCCCAAATAAAGGGATCAGCCCCAAATAAAGGGATCAGCCCCATGATGGAAGGAGTCCCAGTAAAAGCTGGTATGGCCACTTTATTCTCCTTTCTTCACACTGGCATCTCAGCCCGAGTTTCTTCTTAATATCAATAAATATGTATCCTGGTCATTCAGAGATTTCACTTTCCACACATCTTTCCACACATCTTTCCTTTGCATGTTTTAAAACTGCTCGGATTGTGATTGCTTTGCAGCACAAAACAGGAACAAGGTGCAACTGGAGCTAAAGTTATCTAATAATGGCAGTGTAAATAATCTCTTGTTTGCAGTGCAGGTTGTAAAATAACCAGTGATTCCCTCGGTGAGTGAGATGAGGTGCCAGTGTAAATGTGGCTTGTCTTGCTCTTCAGCTAAAAGCAAATCCTGCTCGTTTATCCAGGCATCTGTGAAGACAACAACTCTACATGTTTACCCTGCTTGTTGTAGCTCCGACACTAACCCCCCCCCCACACATCCTTCTGTGTTCACATTTCTTTCAAAACCAAGCCATCGATGGGAGATCCCCCCTGCTGTCGCTGAATGGTACAGTCCACAGAGGGGCAAGGCACCCTTTTGAACAGAGCAGTTTGTGGAGAAGTGGATCGTCCAGCACCAAAGGGTGACGGAGGTGTCTCCCCCCATTTCAAGGACGATTTCATGTGGGAGGAAGACGGCGAAGAAAGCAGAAAGGAGATCCTGGTTTGCATGGAACAGCCCTCACCTCCCTTTATAGATGATCTTCGTTGGACTTTTAAGATGCCTACAGGCGGAGGAACTGCACCATGGGTTGAAATCGGCACCAACAATAGCACGGTGAAAGAGGGCGAAGTTTTATTTCGATTCTTCCTAAGATGTATTTGGACCTGAGGCAGGTTAGCAGTGAGACTGATCCCTGATCTGGTTTAAGTTGAGACGGTGTTTAAAAACAAACGAGGGGCGGCACGGCTGATGCTTCCACCTCCACCCTTCAGATCGTAGCGGTGTGTTTGTGTTAGTGCATGCTTTTGTGCATTTCAATGTCAGTGAAAGATGTCGACCTCTGCACCATGCACACTGGCGCTTTATAATGCAACATTTAATGAGTAAAACATGTGTTGCATTTTGGGTGAATCCAGCCCTGTTTATCTTCTCTCCTCATAGGGGTGAGGCTGAACTCTTTGCATTAAACCCAATGGAAGATGTCAACCTCTGCTCCATGCACACTGGGAGCGTTATAATGCAACATTTAATCAAAGTAAAACTGCTAAACATGTTTTGCATTTTGGGTTTGCATCCTCAGGGGGTGTGGCTGAGCTCTTTGCATTAAACCCAGTGGTGGTTTGCCCCCGATGGGACGTGATGACGCCCAGGTGGGGTCGTGAGTCTTTTATCTCCCTGGTGGAGGGGTGTGTTCAGGTCTCTTTGAGGTGATCGAGGGGGGTCTCTCAGATCCGTAGTGGGGGTCCTGGAGCTCCTGTGAGGGGCGTGGTGGAGCCGCGGTCGTACCCTATGTCCACCACCGTGTGGGGTCTCCCTGCCAGGCGACCCACCGGCTGCACCTGCACCTGCCGCTCCCGGAAACTCTGGATGTAGCTCTGAGAGGGCGGAGAAACACCTTTAGTTTATTAGAGCAATATGCAAACATGTACTTTAAAATATATGGCTGATCTCCTGTTATACTATTTTTAGACATACATTATGGGTCTCAGATATATACAAATATATACAAATACATGTCTATGATGTGTTTTGCTCAAAAAGTGAGACCTTTAATTCATTTGATGCACAACTCAGGTTTCTTTTTGTCTTCTGCATAAATAGTTCAAATACATTAAATTCAGTAGCGATCCTACCGGGGAGAGGACGTCGGTGTCGTAGCGACGGATGGGGTTGGGTTTGCGGCGGTATGCGGGTTCAGGGTGGAGCTGCTTGGCCTGATGGTTGCTGCTGGAGGACTGCGTCTTCTTCTTCTTCTTGTTTCGATACCGGTCGTCCCTCTGCCGGATCCTCATCACCTGCATCCTCCTCTGCTGCCGGCTGATGATCACTGCGAGCACAGAGGGAGAGGATCATGGGTAATGTGTGGGAGGCGTGTGGTGAAGTGGACTAGTGCGTGGTGTTCGGATCAGGGGAGCACAGGTTCAAACCCCACTGCAGTCAGCATGTCGTTGTGTCCCTGAGACACTTCACCCCAAAGTGCTCCTGTGGGGATTGTCCACAGTATTGAGTATGTGACATGTCATGTAATGCTTTGGTTTGCTTCACCAAAGTTCAAGTAATAGCTGAGGGTGGAGATAGAGCAGCTTCTCCATCATGATGTGCATTTATTAGTTCAAGTTTCAAGGCTTTATTGTCATTAGCACATTAGCTACAGTGTAGATATGGCAATGAAAAGCGTAGGTCACAGGCTCCTCCAACAGTGCAACATATATAAAGGACAAATAAAACAGATGTGCAAGTAAATACAAATAAAAAGGTCTATTCCAATGAAACCCTGGCAGAAAGGGTGAGATCTGCATGCTAATACCCTCCCTTCATCTACAACAGTCTGCAGCCTTGTTTAAAGGTATACATAAACAGTTCTCCTCACCCTTGGTGTGTGAGTACCCCTCGGCGGTGACCTTCCACTGCACCATGACCCCCAGCAGGGTGAGGGCGGGCCACACCCCCAGCACCACCCACGTCACCCAGCACACAGGCTTCCCCGGTGCTGCCTTCAGGCGCTCGTACATGTACAGCACGAGGGCGAAGAGCTCCACGAAGTAGTCCACTGCCACCGTGATGACGGCCGCCCCGAACATGGCGGTGGAGAACGTGGTGAAGAGGCGCTGCCATTGGAGCGCGAGCACGGCGAAGAGCATCCCGAGCCCCAACAGGACGCCCAGAGGCACCCAAACGGAGCGAGGGGGGCTGTCGGAGAGCTCCTCCATGCCCACCAGTGTAGCCACGGCCACCAGGAGACCCAGCAGAAGCCCCACCATGAAGAGCCCCACGCTGCGCACCAGCATGGTGACCAGGCCGCACAGCGTGCCGATGCCCAGCCCGATGCCCACCGACGCCTCCATGCTCAGCTGCGTGTCCAGGACGCGCTCCTTGTAGCAGAGCATGAAGATCACCACGGAGCCAAACATCAGGCCGGTCAGGAACATCACCGCCTTGAAGCAGCGGTACCCTGGAGTAAAAGAGAGGAGCATTTTATTTACCACAGAGGATACCAACATCAGAATCAGAATCCCTTTATTAGTCCCACAGAGGAGACATTTACATTGTTACAGCTTAATGTTACCTAAGAAGCATGCATACAAACATTTAAGAAATGACACAATTTACAAAATACACATCCTGTAACAGCTCTGAAGTTATAGCAGCCAGGTATATATTGCATAGTTATTACGGCATATAAATGTCCAATGTATAGCACTCTCATACCTAATTATGTTCAGATGTTTAAATGATGCTTTGAATGTTGACTTTACGAATGAAACAAGAGCAAAGGAAACCTTCCTGGACTCAAAATGAGTTTGGTTGAGACGCTCTTTGTACAAGGATATGTTGAGACACAAAACTCACAAGAAACCCCCAAAGCAGTCTCTTTTTAAACATTTGAAATGCCTTTAGTGGCAAAGTCATGTTAGACCTAAAAACTAACTCCTTTGTCAGAGAGTGAATGATTTAAACTCAGATGCTGCTTTCAGGGACAGCTGATGGATGAATGTTATTGGAGCAGAGCTCACCAAAGAAGCAGTAGATGATGCCGAAGAGGCAGCACATGGAGCAGATCACAGAGGGAACAACTTTGTAGCGTCCACCAAAGTCCTCACAGCCGTCCAGTCGCTCCGGACTGAGCTCCGGGTCGGGGGGCAGCATCTCCAGGGTGGAGGTCATGATGAACCAGAGGAGGAGGAGGAGGAGGAGGAAGAGGAGGAGGAGAGGAGATCAGGTGGGAGGCGAGGGACAGGGGAGGCTAGGGAGCAGCACACAGCCGAGTGCTTTCACCTGAGGACAGAAGAAGAAAGACAGAGATGTTTTTAATTGGTTATTCATGATTATTTATGAAAGTATTTTTTAATACTTTATTTTGAAATGTTCTTTTAGTTACAATAAAGCAAAGACATACACAATATACAGTAAGTAGGTACCCGAAACCTTTACATGGCGTACAAGAGAAAGGGAAAAAAGCTGAGTATTACATCGACAATTCCTGAGAATAGTCTAAAGCTGCCTGATTTAGACTATCAACACACACACACACACACACACACACACACACACACACACACACACACACACACACACACACACACACACACACACACACACACACACACACACACACACACACACACACACACACACACACACACACACACACACACACACACACACACACACACACACACACACACACACACACACACACACACACACACACACACACACACACACACACACACACACACACACACACACACACACACACACACACACACACACACACACACACACACACACACCACACACACACACACACACACACACACACACACACACACACACACACACACACACACACACACACACACACACACACACACACACACACACAATAATAATAGCTCAGCGGACAGCGGGAGATTGGACGAGGGCAATCTCTCTTCTGATCAGGAGGCGTTTGAGGGGAATAGGAAAAGTCCACTTCAGGCCAACGGAGCACAGAGCAAACATTTCTCTAATGGATTTTCATCAATCATTCAGAGTCCTCTCCCAGGACTATTTCATCTCAAATTAAGGATAATAAAGGATCTTATTTATAGGCCTACATGTTTGTGGTGCACCATAGTGTAATAGTGCTTTGTATTACTGTGCAGAATCACATCCACACATATAACAAGACTCAACACTTCAAATTAAACACAAATATTAATGCCTTGCTTTTCTTAACCTCAGAGAAACGACTGAGATGCTGAAACACAGACACATAGCCTCAGGATGTTTTTATGTAAATACGGTATAACTGCTAGGTTAGAGAAGTGCAGAGAAAGTTAAATTAAACAAACTCAGTCACCTCCTTCCCACGCCTCCTCCCTCCTCCCTCCTCCCTCCTTTGGCTATTTCTGTTCTCGCCATCTCGGGGTGAGTTCAGTCCGACTGCCGAGGGTTTCTGGGTCACAGATGCTTATGCAACCAGTCTGGGGAACTTTGCTCCCATCTGCATGAGCTCCAGCATCTTTCATCAACTTTCCTCTATTTCCTTTACCTATTACGTCCTCACTTTCCTCCCCCGGTCTCTAGGTAATACCATGAAGGGGTGGATGAGAAATCATTTGTGTTACGTCCTGAGGTTTAAGCTGGCCAGGGAAGTTTGACAATGCATGAAAAAGGCAGACAAATAAAGAGCTATTTGAACATTAAAGCACGGAAACATGTCACAGTACGGCCCCTTCAAACAACCGTCTGATATCCATGGTTACCGTCAAAGAATGATCAAGACTATTCTAATATCCCCGGTGAATTGACTCTCCACTATGCATGCATGTACCCACTTATTGGGGTACTGTATACTGTTCTACAATAACACTCACATGCATATTGATGGCATTTGTGATTCTTGCAGCAGGGAGGACAAAGTGCACGAGAGAAAACTAGTGCACGCTCAGTCAATTAAACATCAACTAAGTGTGTGTGTGAGGCAGAAGCATTTGCATTTGAATAGAGCCATAATAGACACACTCAGTAGCAAGGGGATAATGAATAGAGCAATGTTTTCAGAGCAAACTCAGACTACACACGCACACACACATTCAGATACTACATTTTCATCCTGATTTCCATCCAGACATGACATATTAATAATCATCTTTCTGCAGAGGATTAGCAGGTCTCTGCTGAGCGACCCTGTGTGTGTTTTTGTGTGTGTGTGCGTGTGCGTAAGCATTAATCTGTTTAGTGCCGCAGATCAAAAACATGCATTTTTGATGTTTGCAGAAGGATCATCCTCTTGAAAAAATGTTTGCAATAAACAACAGAGGAGTTTCTTCTTCTGCTGTTTCGAATCGGCAGCAACAAGAACAACATTGTGGTCCTCCACCGACCCCCCCCCCCCTCCTTGCTTCCTGTCTGTTGCCACGACAACGGAGGGATGCTGACAGTCGGCCCTGGTCCGAAGCCTGTCCAATAGGAAAGCAGCTTAAACTCCCATAGCAACAGCATGAAAGCCAATCAGTGCCACCGTCTATTCCCTCAGTGAGTGAGTGTGTGTGTATGTGTATGTGTATGTGTATGTGTGTGTGTGTGTGTGTATGTGTGTGTGTGTGTGTGTGTGTGTGTCCTATTGATTATTTCACTCTTAATGAAAGATGTAAATAAGTCTGGAAAATGCACATAGGTTACCAAAATGATCTGTTTAGATTCCTTATTCTGCTGAATAACAAATACTTTGTACTGAATTTATAAAATAAAGAAAAACAAGAAATATAGTATTTTAAATGATGCAAACATTTAGATAACCTCTGTGTTTTCAGACAACTAAACCCTCTCTCTCCTCGTCATATATATCGATGAAAACCCCGCAACCATTCTCCGGTTTAAAGGAAATGCACTTCAACTTGGTTCATATTCAGCCTCAGACACACTGACACAGATGTGCCACTACTTCCTGTCCTGACATCATCAGGATGAACTCAGCGGCGGCGGATAAAAAGAGAGACAAAGCCTTCACATAAATAAAGAAACGCCGTCTGACTGTTTCACACACTGAGTGCACAGACAGGCAGGAAAACACACACTGCACCAGGTGTGAAGGTTTCTAAAAAGCACCACACAATAACATCCTCTCACCTCTAACAGTGCGCACTTTCAACCACTTTCAAACACACCTTGATGTTGTTTTCAGTCCATAAAGTCATTTGTCTTTGTGACACAAATGAAGGTTTAAGAGCCAGGTGTTATGAGCTAAATGCTCCCACCAAAAGAATGCAAAGACTTCAAAACACAAGCAGAGAAACGAGACATGATGGATTTTGCATTCATGCATCCTAATGAGAGATTTAACTTTTCATTTATTCAGCTTCACCCTGTTAGATGAAACTACTCTTCTCACCTCGATGACTCCTGAGCATCACAAGTCTCTGTCTCTTGATCATCTCCAGACATGCTCAGTTTTCTTTCTGCACACATTTCATCTCTGTTCAGTGCACAAAGGGGCTGTGTAGGTTTCAGAACCCTCTCGTGAAATCTGCTCACGAAGCATTCACTTAAAAAAACATCTTTGATCCAAATTCTCCTCGAGGCAAACATGATGCGTTTCTGCAACTCCTGAAAGTTCACCTCAGGTCATCTGCATACCACAAGTGTCTCAACTATGTGTGTGTGTGTGGGTGTGTGTGTGTGGGTGGGTGTGTGTGTGTCACAGCCAATGACGGAGAGTAGCAGCAGGACGAGGAGTGATAAAGACACAAAACTTCAAACCAACCAGCATGACATGAGACAGGATCCAGCTGTATCAAAAACCAGAACACATCGCATTTGAAATCAGAACAAATATTTAAGAAAGCAGCCAGACACACGTCTCTGAACGACGCCTGTGCACGCTCACTTTTGTGCGGCCAGGATGAACATGTTCCAGTTTAAAGACTACTGGAAAGGTTAGTCTGTAAGAGTTGTTGTGATTCTGGAGAAGGAAAGGAATGAGGAAACGGTAGCAAAAGGTAGATGAGAGACAG